TACTAAATTACTAACTAGGATGTATATTATATATCTTCTCAAGTTTACAGTTTTGTCATCTAACTGCTGGTTTCTTGGTAGCAGAACTTACAGAACAGACTAAATTCTTTCAACACTGAAAGGATATCAGAAATTATATTGATTGGAATGTATGTGAAAGATGTAGATATCTTGCATTATATAGACAGTCTCAATAAGAATCCTTATTTTGATAAGGGATAGCATAATGTTGGAAGCCAACAAATATTTGCATGCCCCCGCATATATAGTTTAAGCTGCTTTTTATCCGAACTCAGTTATAACTAGTTTGTAAAAATAAATAAATATGTGTTTGCTTGTAAGCAACAATACTATACAAAATACACTATTAAATATTTATGCTGCTAAATATATAAGTTTCCGAACCCTTTTGTGATGCAAATAATTTAATTATAAAGTATAGGCACCACTCTGTTTCTTCTATTGAAGAATAAAATTAAAAAAAAAAAAACTCTTCGAAACCTCAATTATGTTTCCAAAATTGAGAATAGTAATTGAAATCGAAAATTCTATTCGCCAAGTTACCGATCTGTAACTATAAATGCCTAAAAAATTTCATCTCCATACAGAAATTTCCTTCAGCCGTGTCCGTCTGTATGAACGAAAGAATCTCAGGATGTATAAAAGCTAGAATTACTAAACTTGGTATCCTGGTTACCCTAAGCCCTTGGCAGATCCAGTTAATGTATTTTCGTTTTTAGTGATGTTCCATAACTTTCGCAATTCTTGGAAGATTGTAACTCCGATTTAACAATTGGTAATACTATATATATTGAAGAATTGGGCCCACTCCACTTTAGCTAGCAGTCCTTTCTTGTTATTTGATGGTTTTGTGCAAGCACAAAATATCTTCACAGGCCAATAAAAGTGTTATGTTTTCTTTAAAATTATTTGTAATTTTTCTAAAAATTTTACACACAATTAGGCGCGCTTAGCTTAATGCGAGTCGGAACGTGTATTTTTTTTGGACCTTCTAACCAACAATTGTGGGGGATTACGGTTGATTTTACGAGCGCTTTTACGAGTGCTATAAAAATTTGTTGCAATTTGCTGCTCTGTTAATAATTGTTGGAAATTCGTGGCTTGATAATTTGTTCACATGTGTTTTTTTGTTTACATGTTATTTTGTTGTTGTTGTTGTACCTGTATATAGGTATACCTATGTATATAGAACATATATTCTATGTTTTATACTGATTTTCCAATTTTTCTTATTCTTATCCGTCGCTCTGCCTTTTCTCTCGGTTTTTTTTTGTTTTTTGTTTTTCTATGGCAAATGTTTCGTTCATGTCGCTTGCAATTAAGTTGCTTTGAACGGCAACAACAATAAGCATGAAAGAGCATACTTAATTTATTTTAACGTGTTCCTTATGACCATACATACATATATATGTACATATATATATATATATATATATATATATTCTGATGATGACGAGACTCTGGGCCAAATTATATGCTACTTAGATGTGGCAGCGATTTGATTTTTTCATTTTTGCTTTTTTCGTTTTCTTTGCCATTTTATTTGCTTTTTACACACATAGCACTACATAGGAATGTTGTATGGTTTTTGTTCCAAGGCGGCTTGAGGCGTGGCTCTACTTGCTTTGCTGTAGGTATGTGCGTGTGTGTGTGTGTGTGTGTGTGTCGCGTAATTGCAACAGCACGCGCATATTGTTGTTGTTTGTTGTGCCGGAAGCGCATTAATAAGCGTGTGTTTTTATTTTTTGCTCTTTTACTTAGCCCACGCCAGCAACAACAACAAAAACAACAACTAAAAGAATAATATTAATAACAAAAACAACAACAAGAAGCTCGTCCATTAGCCCATTAGCCCTAATGGCCTTCGTCTTAATACAAAAACATGGCTAAAAAGACGAGCACATTGCGCATTTGTTGTTGTTGTTGTTCTTGTTGTTAAAACTTGCTTGGGTTGTGTTTGGGTTTTGTGTAAAGCTCTATGTACACGTCTTATGTATGTATGTATCTGTGTTTTTCTCTAAAAGCCTGCCGCCAGGAAGGCGACTCCTTAAAATTAAACAACTGAATAAATTTGTTTAGCGAAGCGGAACCAAATGCAAATCAGTTTCCCATGACTTGAACTTTTGATTCATTAAATCAAAAGCTTTGTGATATTCGATATACATATGTAATTGATAAATTTTCAATGGAACCAGCATATCAGCCAAGCTGCTGCATTGTTTTCTGATTTTAAATTCCCATTTTACAGCCAGTTTGTTCAATATATGTACCATTCCAGTCTAACGACTGCGATCAGTTTATTTGGAAAGTTGAACGAAAAGCAAGCCTTCTTCTTTATTTCTGGATCGAGAGAGTCTCTCTATTTTCATCCGTCTATCTTAAAACGATTCTTTAAACTCATTGGTTATTATCCGAAATGTTCAGTCCTCAGTCAATTCTTCAAACTTAATTAAAATAATATTTAAATTTATATTAAATAATATTAATTAATTAAGATAATTAGCTGCTTTGGGAATAAAACCCCTAATATGTATTTTAGTTATGCTAGTATGGGAAATTTATTTAAATGTCACCCGATAACTAACATAAATAGTTGCATATAACCTTTGTACTGAATTCTGCAGGTCGTTTCAATTAAATGGTTTCCTATATACCTATATGTAATCTGCTTGAAATCTTACAAATGCTTTCCAACGAAAATAATATATGTTTTCGAAAAAAAAAACATATAAAATCAATTATCGTGAACCTGATCCTACCTCACGTGACCATCACTAGCGCGTCGTCTTACTCTCTCGCTCACTCTCTTCCTTTCTTTCTCCTCCGATGGCTTCGCCCCAGCAACGGTACGGTATTTGACCTGCATCCGAATCCTCTCTTCTCTCGGTCTCTTTCTGTTGTTGCCCCCGAACCAGCCAAGGGTTAATTGACAATTTGAACTTTTGCAAAGGCAGCGTCGGCGTCAACGTCAACGTCAACGACTCGACTTGAACGTCGTCGCACGTGCGCCGACATCGGAGCTCCGCTTTGCATCTTAAGCCCAATGGGGATGCTCTGCCCTGCAATTTGCGCTTAGCTTGTTGGCATCGACTGCGAATGGGGCTGCGGCTGCGGCTTCGGTCGGCATCGGCATCGGCAGCCGCTTGATGAATTCATTTACACTTGGCTGCTAATCAATTGAACTCGTTTGCGGCTTGACTCCATATATGGCGCTGCATACGCTTAAATGTATGTATGTGTGTGTGTATCTGTGTGAGAACTTGTTGTCCCAGTCATTTTCGTCTCGAACGCTGGCGCCGCTTGTTATACCTAGGAGGGGTACTCTAAGACAGCAGCTTATTGGATAAACCAACTGACTTTGTCGCTTCAAAGACTTGTTCATTAATTTAGAACAAGGTGTGCCCGCATCCCAAACTACACAGGACTCTTTGGCCAAATGGGATCATTTTTTTCAAAATAATCAACTTCCGATTCAGTACAAACAATGTTTTGCACGATCAAGACGCATTTCGAGTTAGGGGTTTGAGAGTTCCATCTGTATGTCCTTCAGAATGATGTCCCTATAGCGCTTTCCTTTCATGGACAAGTGCAATTATACGAAGAGGAAAATAGTCGATGGGAACAATTTTTGGTTATCAAGCAGGATGATACCCTTCGTAGCCCCATTTTTTGGCTAAAATCTAAACTCTGCTACGATTTGAAATTTAAAACAGAAATAAATATGCATTTCTGTGCATTCGATTGTCATAAAATACGAATGCAATGTTGATAAAAAAGACTCCATCAATGTGTGAAAGAGATATGTACACATGTGAAAAGGTCCTTTATGTTTATAGATGCACCTTTTATATAAATAACAGTAATTGCAGCATTTAAAGTATCTTTGAAACAATTAAATTATTAAATACAAAGCTTTTAACATATTTGCAAAGCCTCAAACCATAACCTTTTGTTTAGTTACTCTTAAAGGCTTAAAGGTCCTTCAAAGTTGGTGTTAAATTTAGCTTAACAGTTGCTTTGCATTGACGTTGCTGAGAGAGAGTGTTCACTTCGGTGTGACTACTTTTGCATTCCCCACATTGTTTTTTTTTCTTTTTTATTTTTGGACTTTTCATATTTGGAATTATTGTACTTGCTTGCTGTTTTCATTTTCGGCTCTTGTTAATTGGAAACCATGTCAATCGACGTTTGATCTAAATTGTGACGCCATTGACATACATTCACACCTCGGGCCCGCTCTGCTGCTCGGTCGTTCTGGCTTGCTGTGGTATTGGGCGCTGAGACGAGTTGACTTCTGACTGCTAATTTGTAGTTTGCTGAGCAGTCAATGCAAAACATTTGAAATACATAGCTTTCGCAACGTTCTCTCAGAAACCCTAATTGTTTACAAGAATTTCCCAATTCGTTTGCTTGTTAACTATTTAAGAGTTAAGAGCTGATTTCATTTACAACTGATATGTTGTTATAAACGTCTTAAGAATTATTGACGAAAATTATTTCTAGCTGATTTGTTGTAAAAATTAACTTGGAATTTATAAGTTTTCTAAATTACTATATAAATATATATGTGCATATATTATTTTATTCACTGTATTCAATGAGGTATAACTCCAATGTTGCGCGTTTTCCAAACAAACTGTTGATGGATTACAATAAATCTTCTACAGCCCTGAACTAAATATTTGGTTGAAGATTTCTTTAGTAATGCCTACCATATTTAATAATTCGAATACTAACACTGTTGGAATTTATAACAAATTGATAAATTCAGAATGAAAACATATGTGTTGTTTAATGAATAGCGCTTACCATCTTTAGAAAGAAAGAAAGAAAGAAATTTCAAATAGGTTTGGCGTCTCATTCATTTGCTTAAACCAAAAGCAAACACCACCCACACCTACGCTCTACACATGTACTCTAAATATTGGAATATCAACACTACATTTTTGTTTTTTTATTTCTGCCACCAACCTTTTCAGCTACATAAGGCATCCTCAACCAAGGTAAGCAGCGCGAATGAACCGCAGAATGAACTGAAGCATCTAAACCAAGCTACAAGTATAGCTAAGGATATCATCCATATTCTAGTCTGTGTGTTTGTGTTTGTATTTGTCTTAGTCTTTGTGTGCTATCCATAAATGTGTATCGTTAGTATGTGTTGTAATATAAGGACTTGCCTTAGTGTAACATGTTTGTCGTTTGTCGTCTTTGCTGCTTACTCACATATTTGCATAACAATCTAGCAATCAAGCAATCAACTAATAATACATGAAACATTCGCCGCAGCCCTGCAGCTGAACCTAAAATCCATATCAGTGTTTGCTTTTGATTTTGTCTAAATCAGGCAATATGATACAAACATAAAGGTATAACAACCAATGAACTAATATGCATATAGGTGTATATATGTATGGTGTCCATTTTGTGTGTTCTCGTCGTTGTCGTCGTTGACGTTGTTGTTGGATTTGTTTTGTCATCGTCTGGTCGTCTAATTTCATACATCGATGCCAAGCCAAACAAACAATAGTGATAATACAAGTAATACCAATCCGCACTAACACCCAACACTCACCCACAATTTCGCATCGGAGCCAAGATGAGCGATATTCGCGCATCTGTGATTTTGTCACAAAAAATTCAGAATACAATCAGAACTCGATTTATAAGTAACCTAAAAGCAATTGAAACCATGGATAAGCTAAGCTAGCGAAACACTTTATAGACATACTTATAGAGATATATGGATCTGCTTTAGTTGCATAGAGGGGGACCTGTAAAGGAAACTATAGTTCTAGTACATATTTGATCAGATTCCTAAAGAAACTCTACGATAGCTTTAAAATTGTCTCTAGAGGCTAAAGAGCCAATTATTTCATTTCATTTTCTAAATTATTGCGCTTAATGTTAGGATTATTGATAAGTATTTTATAAATAGGATTTTGGAAATTTGATTTTTTTTCATTCATTAACTCAGTTTTGTTTATATGTGCTGGAGCTATTATTGAAAATATTAATGGTCCTTAAATCATTCAAATAATAAGAGTGCCAATAATTCGTACAATAAATGTTTTAATTTATCTAATTGTGCACAAAATTGTATTTAAAGGACATTATCTTCCAAGTTGTTGTAATAATTATAATTAGCAAGATTTATTTTCATTTTTGTATAACTTTTCTAACCGATCTACAGCCTGATTTAAATAATTTAATAATTAGGCAAATATTCTCAGCAATATTAGATTTCAATGCGTTGCAAAATAAATTAAATTTAAAATATTTAAGCTAGTAGTATTGATATACAAAAGAAAGAGTTTTAAAAAAGGTTATTTTTAAAAGGCACACAGATGCGCGAAAATTTGATTTATCTCTTCGAATATCAGTTTACTATGTTTCTGAATTTGAGGTCTGTTCGAATATCAGTTTACTATGCTTCTGAATTTGAGGTCCGACTGTATTCAATACTAAATCACAGGTGACCGCTGTGTGCGCCTCAATAATCGCAGTTGTCGCTCATCTCTGCACCGCACTCTCAGCTCTCAACTGAAACCTGTTGTTATTTAAATTCTCACTTTGATGAAGGTATCTAAACAATTTCTATTCTATTCCCTCCACACACACACACACACACACATACAGGTCAATGGCGATGAGAGCTGGTACTATGAGGACATTCAACTGGAGCGCGGTAATTCGGGCCTGGGCTTCTCCATTGCCGGCGGCACAGACAATCCCCACATCGGCACCGACACATCCATCTATATTACAAAGCTAATACCGGGTGGGGCGGCGGCGGCCGACGGTCGTTTAAGTGTCAATGACATCATTGTCTCGGTCAACGATGTGTCCGTGGTAGATGTGCCCCATGCATCCGCTGTGGATGCACTCAAGAAGGCCGGCAATGTGGTCAAGCTGCATGTGAAGCGGAAACGTGGAACTGGAGGCACCGGCACCGGCACTGGCTCTGGCACAGCTTCCAGCGATGTACGCGACAATGCAACGCCCGCCGGCAGTTCGGGGCCGAAGGTCATCGAAATCGATTTGGTGAAGGGTGGCAAGGGCCTGGGCTTCTCCATAGCCGGTGGCATCGGCAATCAACATATACCGGGCGACAACGGCATCTATGTGACCAAATTGATGGATGGCGGTGCAGCTCAAGTGGATGGACGCCTCTCCATTGGCGACAAATTGATAGCAGTGCGCACGAATGGCGTAAGTAGCACCACCCATCCAATTGTTAACACTAGTTAGCCAGATGAAGGATGTGGATATTGTGCGGAAACTATCTATCATTCCCTGCTCTTTATACGATATTTCAATTACCGCATTTGGCCAACAATATTTGATAGCATCTGGCAGTGACGAAGCTCTAGGAGTTATGCTTTATAGTTAGTTATGTTTCGAGTCAATTCCTCAGGAATCTTAGTTATTCTAAACATAAATCGGTCAACCGACATTAAAGCATATGAGTTGGTATTAAGGAAAGAACTATACTCTCGAATCAATACAATTTTACCGAATATAGTTAGAATATGTAGTCCTTAAAAATAAAGTATTTGAATCTTAATAGATATAGTTGAAGAACTGAAGAATCCCAGGATTCAGGCAACCATTTGTATGCAACAGAAGTAACCATATTAGTCGGCTAAAATGATCTAAAACCGACGTCAACTTTGTAGTGCCAATCATTTCTATGACAGACTATTTGATGAAGTCAACCGATTTTGGTCAACAGTCAGATTATATTTGAGATATCTTTTTGAACAAACAAGTTTCTGGTTTGAAATTTAATTTCTGCACCGATCATTCCAATGGCAGCTATATAAAATAACGAGGCTATGTTCGGTTTTGTAATGAACTTGCTCTGCGCTTGGGCAAGACTTGTCTAAATACCAAGTTTTGTATTTCTAGCTATTATAGCTCAAGTTATCGGACAGCCGTCACGCTGTTCATATATGTATGGGATCTGGAGGTCTTTCTTCTGCCTGCTACATTCATTTGGCTTCCCGACTTTCCAGTAAACCCTTTCCTTTATACCCTTTCCTTTCGGCTAGGCTAGGCTATAATAATAATTTTCGATCACTAAAAAAAATAAAAAAAAAAATAATAATAATAATAATAATAATATTGAAGCAGAACTTAGGGAAGAAGGGAAGGGCACTGAATAGGTAATATAAAGCAATGTCGTAATATACTATATTTTCATATAAACACCCATGATAGTGGCGACAATTTGCATATGACGGCCATTTAGGGAGTTAAGAGATCAGGTATTTAAAAGAAAAATGAAAGCAGAAATAAATAGTTTTTGTTTCGTGCAGCAATTTCTTGCAAAGATATAACAAAATGAAGCATAACTAATACTTTCCCAAGTAAATATCGACACCAAAGCCAACAACTGCTTACATGAATTGGCTAATATTTGTGAATTCGTAGGGGAATGATGTCAATTGGTAGTTTATAGTAGCGATATCTGAAATATCAACATACCACCGTCTGATGACTAATGCAATTGTTGTTTTGTGTTCGCAGAGCGAAAAGAATCTGGAGAATGTTACGCACGAACTGGCTGTGGCCACGCTCAAGTCTATTACCGACAAGGTGACACTGATTGTGGGCAAGACGCAGCATTTAACCAGCAGTGCATCACAGTCGGGTGGCAGTGGCAGTGGCATCATTGTGGCACCCACAACCACGACTCCTGGCAGTGGCCAGTTGGGCCAGCAACAGCACTCGCAGTCGCAGTCACAGCTGGCGGCCAGTCAGCAGCAGCAGCAGCAACAACAACAACAGCAAGTGAACTCACAGTCTACAGGTGCGCTTAACAATGTAGGACAGACAGTTGTTGATTCACCATCCTCAGTCACCTCAGTCATCTCCAATGCAAACACCACCAACACCACCTCCACTACCACCAACACCACAATAACCACCAAGAACAACAACAACAACATTGCTGCTACAGTCACTAATGCCAATGCTAACAGCAGCAGCATCAGCTACAACAGCAGCAACATCATCTCCAATTCAAACAGCAACAGCAATTACAACAACAGCAGCAGCAGCAGCAGCAATAGTAACAGTAACAGTAACAGCAACAGCAATAATAACTCTATAGCTGCCGCAGTACTGGCAACAACAACAACTACAACACCACCAATACCAACAATACCAACACCATCATCATCACCACAACCACCACCACAAATACCACCCGTTTCATCCTTTGCCGCTATGCCTGCTAAATCCGCTAGTAGTTCAGCAGCAGCTGCCTCTTCCAACAGATCCCAATCACCTTTGCCGCGCCGTAAGCGAACAACAACAACAATTTCAACAATAATAAGAACTATTGCTCTCTCTCTCTCTCTCTCTCAAACTAAACTATACTCGTATAACCCTAAATGCCTAACACTCTTCACACTCTGTACTTAAAAGCAGCAATAGAAAGCAAATGATGAATCATGATCATGATTTTATAAATGAATCCAAAGCTGTGAATCATTTACGATTCACATCGCATTCGCATAAGCAGTAGAATTATTATTATCTAAATTTATTGCTCAACAATTGAACAATCATTATAATTACGATTAGAGCTATTCAAACAATCATTCATTTTGTAAATGGGTGCATTCATTGAGTAGAATTTGTTAGTCATCAGCTGCGCAATTCTTATTGTTTCTGTACAGAGTACACTCTATGGGCTATTCAGTTCTTATACTAACTCCAGTAACTCATTTGACCCCCAATGGAGCCGTCTGCTCTAATTAAGGACAAGCCGGAAATGAAACATAATATGTAGAGGAAATGTGTTAGCGGACCTTTAAACTAACGAATCAAAACACTCAACTTCTGTCTCTCTCTGTCTGTCTTCTCCCTTTATGAGCGCGCTCTCTTTGATAGATTTAGTAGCTAACAGCTTGATAGACACGCGCGCTCTCTCTCTCTCTTTCTCTTTGCTGTTACACCACCACCAACGATAACCGACAAGAATAATAATAAAAAAAAAAACAGAACTCTCTCAGAAAGCGTGCATGCTTAGAAGCTTGCTCGCTCGCTTCTCGTTTCATGCTGTTCTCGTTCGCTCGCTCGCTCGCTCGCTTGTTCGTTTGTTCGTTCGTTCGTTCATACACCATATAAAAAATTAAAAAGTACTGTCTATTTCAATATCTTCGCACTATATGTGATATTTTTGTTTTAAATGTATGATGTCTCTGTGTGTGTGTTTGTGTGTAGCGCGATTTTTTAAAGAGAATCTGCAAAATATGAACTCAATATTTACAATCAATATTTTGTGTTTGTTACTTCTTCTGCCTTTTGCATGAATTGGTTTTACCGACCACCCCCCACCCGACTCCCGTAAATCTTCTTTTCACTAGCCGCGTAACATTTGTCCCCACTTTTTAAAAATATCTGTGTGTGTGTATGATTGTCGTCTTTTTTCGATGTGTTGCGCCGTACCATAGTGTTTATTTTACATAATTGTCTACAAACAATATACTCGTACAGCGTTATACACAAATATATATTTTGATTCTCTTTTGCGTTGTCCCAACTCTCTCTCTCTCTCTGTCTTAAGTACACGAAGCGAAATTCATTCAAAAAGCAAACCTGAGAGACAAGTTACGCTCAAACCAGTTTCGTCTTTTGAGTTCCTGTTATCTCTCGCTCTCTTTCTTCACTCTAACACTATCTTTGTATTTCTTTGCTCTCTCTCTCTCTTTCTCTCTCACTCTCTATTTCTTTCTCTTTTGTGTCTATCTCTTTCGATTTTCGTTTAAATTATTTTAAAATAAAAAAAAATAAATATATATAAAATAATGTCAACAACTCCTTGACCCACGCCCATTTTTTTTACACTAATTACCTTACCCCACTCTCTCTTTCATGTCCAAAAATGATCAATCGTGCGTTACTTTGTGTATACCGTTACCGTTACACTTTGTGGTTGTTATTTATATCAATAATATATATATATAAATATATTATATGAACAAACAAAAAATTACTTAAAATTATACAAAAAAAAAAAAAAAAAAAAAAAAAAAAACACCAAAAACAAACAAAAAATACCATAAATACCAAACGGCCTTATAGAACCCGGCTCGAGATATGCATCAACGAATGTCTTGGCCGCCGTACCGCCCGGCACACCAAGAGCGGTCAGCACAGAGGATATAACCAGGTGAGTACCGTCCATTAAGATAATTTCTTTACATACCTTACTCTTTTTGTTTTCCCTGACCCCTCCATACCCCCACTAACCCCCACCCAGCTATATAGATGAAGCACACGCAACGCATTGCACGACATTTGATAAACTTTAGCCGCTGTTGAACTGGGAGCATATCTAATCGTATCCCCCCTCCCCTCCCTAACAGACTACTTACTGGCCTGAGCTTGTTAGTTTTCGCATTGCCGGCAGATAATACGAGCACAGGGGAGCCCAAGCAGCGCTGTTTAATTTGAGATAAGAACAAACTATGAGATACAAATTTAGCAATCCCACCAGATCGGTCTGTACAGGTAGTTATAACCGTATGTAGCTGCCGTAGTGTCGAAAATTTATTTTACTTTTCTTCAAGTGTGGGAAGAGCGAGGAAACAAAAGTTAAATTCGTATTTGATTAAAGTATAGAAAGTGAAGCGCGTGTTTCAATCATTTCTGTTAAAACTATTAGTCTGGTATTAGCTTTCTGTTTGCATTATATTCCAAAAATAAAAAGAAGAAGATTTTATTTATTTTTTCTTTTTCTGAACTCAAAGAGAATACAAATATTTAGTGTAGATAGATACCAGACACTTGCATAAATCAAACAATGCTATGAAAAAATATGGATTATGCCTTCAAAGGGGCCATTTAGATTTATCAAAACACATATGGAGGGTAGTGTAATAATAACAATTACAACAAGAACGACAAAAACAACAACTAAGATAACAACAGTAGCCAACGTCGTCGTCATCAAAGACGACTTTGTGACTGTGCCTGCAATTTCAATGAGAATTGCCAGCGTCAGGCATTAATCATAGAAACAAACTGCCACTTGGTCGCTTGGCGACTTTTAACTGTTGGTTGTGGGTTGGCCGCCGCGCCTGCAACAACAACAACAACAGCAGCCACAGCAACAACGTCATCAACAAGAGTCGCAACTGCAGGCGTCTTATTCGTCATCGCTCAGTTGTGCGCGTCGAGTCGGCCAGGACAGAGATACCGCTGAGAAGGAGATATGTTTCGTCGGTACACATCGGTTCTCGAGATGCGTGGACTGCACGCTCCTCCCCCTCCTCCGCCGGCCCCTCCTCCGGCCAGGGATAAGGATAAGTCGCAGGATAAGGCAAAGTCAACGTCTCCCTTCCTGGGTGCCATACAGCAGTTGAAACTAATTCGTGCCAAGTGCGTTGCGTGTCCTTCCATACTATATACCCTAATCCCAAAAGGGGTGTAAACGATAGATCGTCCATTAACAAAATATTTGTTCAAGTGTGATGTGCATTGCAACATTCAGTCATTATCGTCTAAAGCTTTAATGTAACGCCATGTGATGTCATTCAGGCATGTTTCCTATTTCCACACCCTGACTAATACGAATCCCATAAGGCAAACGAATGCAACTTAGTGAGTTGAAAACGAACACTAGAGTAAAAGTATTTACGTCCAGTGGTTAAGAGATTAAGTGATTAAATATTTCATCGCCTCAGATCATGATTCTGGTTTGCTCAAAGAAGCTGTTCGGAAAATAGACGTGTTGAAACGAAAACGATGCTTTAGGTATTCACATGCAGTGGTTAACTGATTAAAAACTTAAAAAGTTAATGATTTTTCATCGCCGCAGCTCATGATTCTGGTTGACTCAAAAAATCAACTTGAAAAATAATCGTCATAGCGTTCCATTTTAGTTTTTTATTTAAACGATACAAGACTTAAAGTTTTAATAACCAGTGGTTAATGAATTAAGTGATTAAAAGTTCGAGTTTAATCAAATTGCATCGAACCAGTTCCTTCTTAACGTGCGTATTCAGTTAATTAATATTGCCAGCTACAGCAATTCTTTTATTTGTTCTCCTGTGGGGAAGAAAGACAGAACCTTAGCCCTGTAGATTAAATATGTTAACCAGTTTAATCTGCTTATTGTCAACTCTAGGTATATATTCCACTACACATATGTATTTTTCGTTTACACCCTTAGCTAAACCTATGACTTTATCAACGAATTGTGAAGAATTCAGAAAAATAACTCTTAATTCTGCGACGAGTTTGTGGGATTGAATAATTCACAAAAAAACGTTTCTTATTAATCTAAAACAGAGAACCACGCACCATTACCATACAAAAGGGACCACAAGGTCTGGGCTTCAATATTGTGGGTGGCGAGGACGGCCAAGGCATTTATGTGTCATTCATATTGGCTGGCGGTCCAGCTGATTTGGGATCCGAACTGAAACGCGGCGATCAGCTACTGAGCGTAAATAATGTTAATTTGACGCATGCCACACACGAGGAAGCTGCACAGGCGCTCAAGGTAAGCGATCCTTAGATCCTCTTTATGAAGATATCCATGGATCAAGAATGTTTATGGTTGAAACAGAAACCTTTAATCTTTAGTCCAAAAAAAGTATACTTATAATAAGTGTTGTTTTGTTTTCTCAACCTTGCACAGACATCTGGTGGCGTTGTCACTTTGGTTGCACAATATCGGCCCGAGGAATATAATCGCTTTGAGGCACGCATCCAGGAGCTGAAGCAGCAGGCAGCGCTAAGCGCCGGTGGCTCTGGCACGCTTTTGCGGACCACACAGAAGCGTTCGCTGTACGTTCGCGCCCTCTTCGACTACGATCCTAACCGTGACGACGGGCTGCCCTCGCGCGGTCTTCCCTTCAAGCACGGCGATATCTTGCATGTGACCAATGCATCGGATGATGAGTGGTGGCAGGCCCGACGGGTTCTGGGCGATAATGAGGACGAACAGATCGGTATTGTGCCATCAAAGCGACGCTGGGAGCGCAAGATGCGGGCGCGCGACCGAAGTGTGAAGTTCCAGGGGCATGCGGCGGCGAATAATAATATGGATAAGGTAAGATTAAATCCAAACGAATAGTCGCGGCTGTCATCATTCCGTTAGAAAACCCTCTCATCTTCCGAGCGAAAATTGTAAATTTCTTGTCAATATTTGTTTAAACCGTTCTTGAAGATTTCAAAGTTTTCTTAACGTAGAAACAAAGTAATCTCGCATTGCTAAGTGACTAGAAGAGTCTAAATAACAAGTCTGGACACTCTGTGTTTAGCTGTTTCCTCAATCTAGACGTTCATACAGACAGACGGATGAGCATGTTTAAGTTACGATCAGACATGTAAATAGTTTGCATGCAAATTTGTATTATTTTACAAGTGTGTTTGTAAAAGTAATTATTGAATTTGTATAAGCTTTCATTAAATGCTTGTATAATTCCATATATTTGCATCCATATAGCTGCTTGCATATTATTGACTCGACGAGCTGATCAAGAATAAAAAAATTGTAATTTACTAATAATTTTATGCCCAATAAACTACTGTCCGGTTCCCTCATAGTTCAACTGAATAGAACATCGAACCCATTTCAGATTATTAAGATTTTAAAGTTAGCAGTTATATGTTATTTGGATAACAATTTTTTAGCACACTAATAGATTCAAAAAATGGAATAACTGTCTGAAATATTTTAGTTAGTTTTAGAATGTTATTGAAGAAAAGAATGAGAATAGACTTGAACATTTTAAAAAGTGCTGCAGGTATATATTGATTAGAAGAAGAAGAGGAAACTGACAAGCAAATAGAATAAATGCCTATTAGAGAAAGTAACAAAACATATCCGATAAAATATCCTTACTTGTTCTAATCATCATCGATCAAATTGATTAAAGGTACCTAATTCCGATTGGGTTTTTCTTTCGTTATCATTGCAAAAAAAAATTAGGATGGAAAACATAATTTGATAAGTAGATATGCACTTTATTATGATATTTCGTACTTTGATATTTTAATCTGGAAGAAATGTCAACTTCGAAAAACCTTTCTCTTCTGTAGGATCGAAGCCTCTCTATAAACAATCGATTAAATGACAGCCGTGACTAATGAAATTGTATTTAATGTTTAACATGCAATAATGCTATTAATTCTATGACATTTTCTTGCACCGATTATAGCAATCGACATTGGATCGGAAGAAGAAGAATTTCACATTCTCACGCAAGTTTCCGTTCATGAAGAGTCGCGATGAGAAGAATGAAGATGGCAGCGATCAAGAGCGTAAGTAGCAACAGTTGGCGCTGCAACTTCAACTGCAACAGTCATGATTACTACTACTACTACAACAACAACAACAACAACAACAACAAGAACAACAACAACTGCAGTAGCAGCAGCAGCAACAAAGCGCGTCTGCAACAACAAGAACAACAACAACAGCAACAACAAGAACAACAACATAAGCAAAAAGCAGCAAATCGAACATCAACATCAACAGAGCAATGCATACATTTGATTTAATTATGTATTGAATTATATTATTGTTTTTTGATTGATGATGATTGATGATTGCTCAATGTTTGCTCGATTGCTCTGTGTGCGCGTCACTCTCTCGCTGTCTTCGCTCTCTGTTCTCTATCTTGCTCTCTCTCTCTTTCTGTCTGTTTGTCTCTCGTTCGGCCCACAAGCTGCTCCTTCAGAATCTAAAAAATATACTCGTATATATATAAACAAATCTATATATATATATATATATGTATATAGTATAAGTGTGTGTGTGCCGGCAAAAGTTTGTTGTGTTTGCTTCGCATTTGCAACAAGAGGCGTCTTCTCTCTCGCTCTCTCTTTAACTCTAATTTGCATAAATTTATGTGTACATTTTATATTTAAATTTCTCTGCGGCTGTTTGTTTTTAAAAACTCGTTAAAGTACTATTGTTGTCTCTTTTTCTTTTATGTTGTCTTAAGCTAAATGAAATATAAATGGTTGAAAGCAAATTTATTTATAAATCAATTCTTCTCAGTGAGGATCTACACACACACACACACACACACACACACATAAACAACACGTCTTCGGCTGCAATTTGATTTGCAGTTTCCCCTCCCACGCACATTTCCCAGTTTAAACTTTTCTGATTTAATTGTTGCGTTTTTTCTTTTATTGTTTGTTTGTTTGTTGTTCTGCATACGCTCTCTTGTTTATATATAATTTAAGAGTATACTATAAGTTGTCTCTTCAGGAGATTCCACAATGTGGAAAATTGTTTGCGTTGTTATTGTTGATTTTATTTTTTTTTTACCATCCAGCATATACACTTAACGATATTTAATTGAATTTATTTGAAATTATTGTTCTACTTTCATATTTTGTTGCCACCATTTATTGAATTACCAACCAACCAACCACTCTACTGTCTCATGTGATGTCCTTCCTGTAAACAAAACTGTCAAAACGATCGAACGGAATATTTATATACACACACTCATATATATATATATATAAACGAAACAAAATGTATATTCATTATTTAATGTGATTTGAATGTGACGTCCAATCATCAACGAACTTCAACCACATATCGACTTCATCCTGTTATCCTGTCTGCCCGCCATGGAAAAATCATCCCACACACACACACACACGCAAATATCTATTTTTGTATAACCAACCTACTGGGACATACTTTTTCTATGCGTTTGACATTGTTACGTTCGTGTATCTACTATATACTATATATATATAAATGTGTGTGTGTTTTGATTGTTCGCTGTGTGTGTGTGTGTTTGAATGACGACTGCATTCAAAAAAAAAAAAAAAAGAAGCAAATGGAATTGTAAACAGCAACAGCGAAATCGATGTTAACAATGTTAACAACAATCAGACAAATGAACCGCAGCGTAAGTTTTTTTTCTTTTCTTTTCATTTGCTTTATGACAGTGTTAGTGTTGCCCAAGCCCCCCTCCTCCTCCCACCTGCCACCCCCTGACAACAAAATAGAACATAAATGGAAAGTCTGGGGTGGTCAGTTTACAATTTACAATTTACGACCAATTCATGTGTATTTTGGTATCTAATACAAATAACATATTAAGTATATGGTGTTACGTAACTTGTGGGTTCACTTTGGATTTATTTTGGGCTTATTTTAGCACAGACACACACACATATCAAGCACCAAGCAACACACTAACTAATCTAGTCTAGAAGAGTGTAAAATCTATTTATAAAAATGTACGTACCTGTGGAAGCGGTTTAGTGGTTGACGACATTATGTAAAACTTCATGTATTTTTATCTCTGTTATATATCTGTTAATATTCCACATATACATATATTCATTCAATCATTCATTCATTCATCCAATTATTTGTGTAACAACAAGAGCAACAACTTCAACTTTAATGCCAACAAGTGTGTGTTAAACGAATACCGCTAGCAGATGATGACAATTTTCAGCAACAAATTGTTGGAACACCTCTGCCCTCTTCGCTCGCTCTCTCCCGCTTTCTTCACTGTCTGTCTAATTAATCTGCGCTATGACTACTATCTGCTACTTATGCCTTCATTTCTTTCATACATGAATACTATTGTATGTCTATATCTATGCTATAGAGCTGTTCGGAAATATTTCTGTGGAGCAGTTACACTGTAGGAGTATCAAAATTGTTAAACAATTATTTTTCAATTGAATCGCAATTAGGAAACTGAAATAGATCTGGAAGTTAAAGAACACAATAAAAGACTAAACTCTGCACAACTTGTCTATGCAGAAGAAGAATTAATGAGAACCGATCGTTAAAAGTATTGTATAATGCTAAAGAAAATCTATGCAGAAGAAGAATTAATGAGAATCGATCGTTAGAAGTATTGTATAATGCTAAAAAAAGAAGAAAAATTGAAAACTCAGTAAGAAAGTAAGATTAATCATAGAAAAGTGTTCAGAAACGGGTAAAGAATAGTGCTGGAAAATGCTTAAATGGCCACAAATGAAGAAACCCTTTAAAGGAAGACACACTCAGAAGCTAGTCGCAGAAGAGTGCTTAGATATACTTAAAGGAGAGACAATTGAGGAACGTTGGGCAGTTATGTTAGTAAGTTTGAGACTTTTGCTTTTTAACAACTTTTGAATAGCGCATTGATATAGTTAAAGAAAAACAAATAAATATGCCACTAAAGAGTGTTGAACAACTATGTGGGGTAGGACAATTTTTTTTTTTTTTTTTTTTTGAAAATAAAACAAGAATCAGGAATCAAAGACAATCGAGGGCTCTTCGACAACATTAGTGCTCCAAAAGCTATTGAAAGGACAATACGTTGCTGCTACCATTTCTTCACACTTCAATCTCAGTCTTTCTTTTGCTCGCTCGCTCGCTCACTCTATCTATCCATTCATGTGCTTTCATGCTGATATTGACACAGTAACAAACTAATGTTCTCAAAAAAAAAAAAAAAATTAAGAAGACAACTCTGTGTTTCCATTGCGAAATTGAAAGATGTGCGTTTAAAATGGAACTGTTTTGCATAACAAACTTACTACTACTATTTACCTACTATTCTGTTTTTAACTGACCAAATCGTATATCTTTTCCGATTCTTTTTGTTTTCTCTTAATTTTTCTAGCTTTTATGCTTTGCTACACACAAGACGATGCCAATGCTGAAGGAGGTATGTACTTGACTATAAAACCTATATAACTTTAAAACTAAACTAAACTAGAACACACAAAAACAAACAAACAAAACAAAAACGAAAATTAATTAATAATCAAATTTGTTCAATACAAACTAATTTTTTAAAGCATACATATATACATATTATAAAATAGACCTACACACACAAACACATAGATCACACACACATACTCATTATTACAAGACAGCTAGTAAAGGAAATCAAGCTATGGTTCCATACAGCCAATACTTACATACAAGCCATTTGTATATTTTCCCCCTCCCAGACACACTACTACTTATGCTAAAACAAACATACACACAAACATAATTAAACAACATAGATACTAACTTTTAAAGAAAATATATTAAAAAAACAAAAACAAATACATCGTACTTTATGTTGTGTGTATTACTTTGATTTATGTTCAACTTATTTTTGTATAGTTACGTTTCTTTCAAACTCTACTATCGAACCCCTTTCACACACACACACACACACTCTCCCTTTCTTTCTGTATCTCTCAATCTATATATATATAAACAAGTACTATCTCTTCGGATTTCTACTATAAATACATATCTATATATATGTATAAAAAAAAATTGAATCAAACAAGATCTACGACTTTTTTTCAACCTCTTTACAACTATATCCCCTTTAACTTTTTGCTCTATTCTTACTACTACAACTACTATTATGTACTTATGATGTGTACTTCATACATATGTTCTTTGCGTTTTAAACGTTGATTTCAAAGTACTACTTATACTTCTTCCTACGTTTCGAACAAACACCCACCCACCCCATTAAACAATACTATCTAATATCTCTATACTATATACCTAAAAATAATACCTAGCAACACATAAACTTATATATTCTACATAACATTGGCACATATACTACATATAAATACATTGGTACATTAATATAACCGACATATATAGTATGTATGTACATATACATATATATATATATATATATATACTTATATATGCTCAGCAACAACAATGCGGAACTCATTTTACTCACTCATGTGCTCATGCAGCGCGAATCTGAACATCCGCTATATAAGCATTATACTCGTATACCGAACACAGACATAGATCGCACGTACTGCTGTACCTATGATATGATAAAGGCAGGCTCAAAAAGTGATCTAAACTACATACCTACATACTGAATATTTATTTCTCATCAAAAATAGCCCTAAGTTCCTCTATACTATCTATCTTTCGTACACTCAATACCCGAACATCATCGCTCGTCCACATAACATGTATTTAAATCGTATGTAAATAGTAAACAGAAATTTCTACGAAAATACCAACACACACTCGTAATGTCGTAATCGTTTCAGAAAGTGTGAATTGCTTTAAACATCCAATACTTTAAAAAATGTGCATTTAAATTTGTGTGATTGATATGATTTACAAAATGAGAACAATATGAAACGCTTCTACGCTCAAGCTGCGGTCACACATGCAAATAATTTGCATACACATTTCTCGTTTATTACAAGTGGGCTGGAAAAAGTAAATCTTGGAATCTTCTTGTAACATTCCACAGATTCGCGTGCAAATTATTTGCCTGTCTGATCGTACATTTACTTTCTTTCCTCTCTCTCTCTCTCTTGCTCTCTGTCTCTCTCTCTGTATAAGTATACATATTATGTATAGAAATGGAAGTCTTTGATTTGCTTAAATGGACGTTGTTTATGCGTATTTAAATACATGTTTTTCTATGCTCGTATTAAACCATATATCAATATACATATATAGTATATATATATTTGTACGATCACCAACATAAAACTCATTTGAAGAACAGAATCGAAGTCAGTATTTCATTTATAAATCACGGATCACAATAATGAAGTGTGAATTGGCGTTCATTTCGTTTTTTTGGTTCTCGCTTCTCTATCTGTAGGAATCGCCTATAATTTAGGATACTCACATGCACATGCATGTAGCTTTATCTCAGATCCCTGAACACAATCTCTGGTATCGTGCCTCCTTCGCTCAGTCAGTCAGTCAGTCAGTCAGTCAACATGCAGTCAGCCAGCCAGTCAGTCAATCCTAGCTTGAATATATTTATCTATTGCTGCGCATCTTCTTACTGTCCTCCTTCTGCTCCTCTCTTCTTGTTCTTCAGCTTGAGTTATACACGCTGGCCACATCTTGATTATTATTCTTTCATTGACCATAATCTTTGACATTTTGCTTAGCTCCCACAAAACGTTTGAGAACTGTGGAGCAGAACTGTGCCTTTCCAAAGTTCTAGGCCTAACTGCACCCACACAGAACACCCGAACACCCAGCACAGACACAGCCACACCCACACCCACATAGACACACACTCAGCCAACACTGAGGACAGCAATGAAGAAATAAGTAGAATTGTTGATACTTGCGAAATGATCGATACCTTCTAGATTATTGATGTACTCGTATACCTATAAATACTATGCATATCTTACATCTCTGGTGCGTTTTACGTAGCCTTTGACTTAAGCAATGAGATGTTTTTTGCGGAACAAGCCTAGCATTTATTTAACCTCAAGTTCATTATTTCGATTGCCTCTTTGCTTAAATATCGATACGATATGATATCCACAATTCTAGTAAAATAAATATATAAAAAAAAAGAGTAGTTCATGTCATTTGTACTCGGTAGAAGAAAACGTGTTGAGAAACGAACAATAAGCAACAAAAACAGTTTTGATAAATATACTTACAAGCAAAACAAAAACTATATACTATATATACCTCTACATATATACAAAATATGATTAATTTTGTTCTTCTTTTTCTTTCTTTTTTCCTTTTAACTTCTTAACCATTGAACTTAACTTTTTGTGTGTGTGTGTCCAACCACTTTGACTCTTTCGTTCAACAACAACAACAACTACTACTACTACTACAACAACAACAACAATAATAATAATAATAAAAATAATAATAATGAATACAAAAACCATCATCTACTACTCTCTACCGCCTAATACTATCTCTACTACTCTACTCTACTGCTGTTATACTCTTCTTTATTTTTTTCTTCAACTACTACTACTAATTGTTAACGGAACAACTTCGTTATGATTTCGTTGCGTTTGACAATTGTTATATTTATATTTTTGAACTATCTACTCTATCTATATAATATCTATATATCTTAAATATATTTATAATATACGAAAAAAAAACAATCAACCACAAACAAACAAAAATAATATATATTTATATATCATCGTCAAATGTGTAAACCTAACCTAACGTTAATTCTACTCTTGTTTTGTTCGACAACTTTTATATATTATATACTTTTGTTCGATCTACAAATCAATAAACACATTCTCGAACTGATTGATGAAATCAATATATATATATATATATATAATAAATACCTATATATATCATTTATATGTATATATATATATATATATATATATGTATTTGTTGCAACCATGCGCTCCTCGCTCACGTACTACAACAACAACAACTATTACTACTTAATTCTTCTACCACAACTACTACTACTATAACTACTATTCCTTCAACCTCGTACATCAATCTACCAATCAATCAACCAATCAACCAATCAACAACAACAACTATCTATCTTTGATATCTTTAATACCGAAACCGCAAAACGCGCAGGCGAGATTATCTACAGAGTGGAATTACCCGATATGGAGCAGATAACTTTAATCTACTTGGAGAATAACGATGCTGACTATCGTAAGTCGAGCGGCTAAACAAATTTTTAGTAAAAACCAAAAACCAAAACAAAACTCAAAATAAAAAAGCAACAGCAAGCAAAATTAAAAAAAAAAAAAAAAAAAAAAACAGTTTAAGTTAAAACAAAAAGACAGCAAACTTTTGGTTAAAAGGATTCTCAAATAACAGGAAGCCAAGTCGCCCATTTATTTCAAAATAGATTGAATTAAATATTTATAATTTTATTTATCTCTCTCTCTCTCTCTGTTCATCTCTCTTAATCTCTCTCTCTCTCTCGCGCTCGCTCGCTCGGTCTGTCTTAAATCAATGCAATATGTGAATGAGCAATAAATTTAAACTTCCTTATTCGATATTCTCCTATAAATAAGCAAAAAGGGAATAGAAACAAATTGTTAAAATTACGAGAATTATTATCTTCATTTTTTGTAAGCAGGGCACCATTTACTGTATTCCGTTTATTTTTCGTTTATTTTCTTAATATGGTTTTCTCTCTCTCTCTCTATCATTTTCACTCTTCGTTTGTAGCTATAGCTAAATTATTCATTTTGCATTTTGCGTTTCGTCTGCAAAGTTGAACGCAAAAAGTGCTGACAAGTTGCATCGTGTCCCACCAGGAGCAGTGCCGCTCTCTCTATTTCTCTGTTGCCTTCTCTCTGTCTCACTCACTCAATCATTGTGCGGAAGTGAAACTCGTCTCTTCCTCATTTAAATGCTTGTCCTTCCGTATTCGAACATTTCTTAAATGCTCCCAAAATTTACAAATTTAGTTCAATTTTGAAAATAATAACTATCTGATATTTTGAAGGAGAATTAAAAAATCCCCATACGCTTTAAAGTAAATCTAATGATATTGATAATTTCATTTCATTTATAGTTCGGAAGAAAAAAGAAGAATTGAACTAAATTAGTGCTCATTTAGCTTACAAATTTTCTTTTCTTTTTTAGATAGAAAGCATATTATTCGTTTAGTCTCCGGCAACTTATCACACTCTTTCTCCCCCACATTAATGAAGAATTTTCGTATTGTATATTTTTCTTTGAAAATTTTTGTTTGTGTTGATAATCATATTCCGTAGATTAGACGTTCAAAATACGATATTTATTGACTTAACAGCTTAGTTGATCGACAGTTCTCTGGTTTGTTCTTGTTTGTGCGTTCTTGTTAATTGCTTGTTCCTTCGCCCGCTCTCTATCTCTCTCCTATCTTTCTCTATCTCTCTCTCTGTCTCAATTTCTCGCTCAATATTACACAGTTACGTCGCTATCGAATTATTCGATATACTTACGTAGTTCGAATATATATACTCGTATATTATTTTTCTCCTTAATTTCCCCCCATTTTATCTCTTACTTTTACTCTTACATTCTTACTTTGCTCACGTAGCTCTAGGTCTGTATGCCTAGAATATTTTTGTTGATTGACACCACCTAGGCTTAAATACAACATGAGTTCTCGAGAGTTGTGTTCAAGTAGCTAGAGCTGCTTTAGTAATAGAGTATTGTTTGATTTTTATACACCACCACCACAACCACCACAACCACCACACACAAACATCGATACCTACAAGCAACAGAAAAATACTCACACAATCGACTATCTATTGATCGATTATAATCGTCGGGACTACGATTCCTTGTACTCCTCGTACAAACTGAGGGCGCTTAGCGGCGTTGTCTCTCTCTTCTCTGGAATTCAGTTGCGGTACTTTGTACGGTAGTTCAACATGTCATCATTACTTTCTCTGTCTGTCTCCGCCTCTCTCTCTGTCTCTCACACACACACACTCACACTTCCTGTCTTCTGTACGTCTCTCTTGAGTTGCGGCATTTTGAATTTTAAGCTAGCTGCGCATCACTCATACAGTACATACTCGTATCTTTCTCTTCCGCTTACATGACTCACACTCTCATTCGCACTCTCTTTTCTAAACCCATGCGCTCATTTCCAACTCTCCGCTCAGCTGATGCACCCAATCATTAAAAACCCAATACATACAAAAAAGTACGTATTTGTATCGCTGCATATTCTTCACAAACGTGTTTTTATCGTTTTCCAAACAACAAAATAACAATCTAAGAAACTAACCACGCAAAACTGCAATAATTGTATCATAATTGTTTTTAGTTATTGTAAAAATACTAGGTACTATTATATAATAATACTACTTATATATACATATATATAAATAATGTGTAAATCACTGCAACGATCGGAAGAGTATTGAAAGATGGTATCGATAACAATGTATTGATTTACTGGAATAAGTGTCGAATAAATGGAAACACTGGTTTGATTTCACCGAATCACCGCGTATCGTTATTTAATTTTCTCAAAATCTCATCATCACGAACACCACACCACACGATTCGAAACCGAAACATATCACTTTTGGTTGCGTAGCACCTCCCATTTATAGTAGGTGCATCGTATATACATACATATGTATATGTACTTATTTTTAAAGAGCACTTAGCTTGAAACGTTTACAGGACTAAGTACTTCCGATCAAATTTTGGGGAAACGTTTCTAGGTTGTTGAGATTTTTTTTTTTTCCTATCATGCCGAGCATTACATATTCTCTTCTATCTCTCTGTTCATGAAAACCATACTATTATTTAAATTGTTTCTTTGATAATTGCCCGCCCCAACAACTAAGTTATGTCTTAACCTTGAACGCAAATGATAAACCATGAAAAGTTGGTACAGAGTGAGTAAACTATCGTTCCAAAAAAGAAAATCTATTGCCGAAAAAAAAAACAAAAAATCAATAGAAAAGAAAACTAATCTAAATTATTCAACGGCGTAAATGTAGTAAAAGTTTATGGAACTACTCTCCAAATAATACTAGTTCGAGTCCCCTTGGTATGAATTGTAAATTTCCAAATAGCTGTATGGATTGTTTTAGATTTTATTATTGGATGTATGTAAAAAAAATCATGTACAGTTATATTTATAGATATTCCTATTCCTCCCATACTCAAAGAGTAAGAACCAAAACTTTCCACAACTTTTGGACTGGTAGACAATGTAGTATGTTTGCTAGCCTATACGAACTCCTTCTTCTTCTTTTCTAACATCTACATGGGTCCGATTAATTAGCTCTAATAATTTGGTAATGGAGCCTAGAGTTGGTTCTGTCAAGTTCAAGATAGGCTGCTCTTACAAAAGCTATCACTAAATTGATAATTACATTGAACTGAAATATGAGTTCCCCTAACTGAATTATTCGCATTAACATTACGCTCATTTGTGGGGTCTGGAAATCTTAAATAGTCGAGTTAGTAAACGAAGTGAACAATCATGATTTGAAATCGTAAGAGTGGGAGCTTTATGTTTTTTCAATTATTCATTCAAATAACCGTAAGACTCGTCAAAACATTACTAAACATGTAGTAGATATATGGAAGGGGTTTGTTTCTACATTATCTCCAATAAAAGAGCTTCGATTGGTTCCACCTCTTGTGTTTGTATTCTCTGTACATACTCGTAGATATAAACGTAATATTATATATATAGTTACTATAGTTTTAAGCGATACCCTAGAACCTAACTAGAAGTTCTTAATGTGTTGTTGCATTCTGTGTATGTTTGTTGCCCGTAGTATTGTGTGTGTTTTGTTTTGATTATGTAACTGTACGTAGTTTTAAAATATTATTATTATAATTATTGTTTATAGATGATGTACAACGGTTATCTAGATTTGTGTGTAGATTGGAATGCAATTTTTTAATTGAGCTCCCGCTTCTTCCCACCCGCCCCGAACACACAACAAAGAAAATACAAATTTCCATAGAAAAATGTGTACATACTCGTATATATACTTTTGTTTATGGCTTGCTTTATTTTCGTGAATGTAAAATTTATGATACTTGTGTATATATATGTATACAATAAAAGTCTCACACTTATTTCAAAATAATTCTCATTAATATGGAATACCTTAATGTTTCGTTTTCGTTTTCTTTTTGTTTCCATATTGAGTTTCGTGAGTCAAAATTGCAACTTTTTTACCTTTGATTTCGTTTATTTATTGACTTGGCGGATATTTAAGTTACAATAACAATAATTAAACAATTTGAAAGTGAGCGCCCCTCACACGAAAACCAACCCCAAAATCTAGATACTTTTCACTTCACAATTCGCGAGTAAAAGCAGACAACCCCAACCACCCACTACCACCACCCACCCATTCAAGTAAAAACCCCATTCCATCTAAATGTAAACGAGCCATACTTAAGTTCTCAATTGAAATTAAATACCTCTTCTTGCGCTCTCTTATGCTCGCTCTCTATGTTTTTCTTGCCACGCTATGCAATTCTTAATGAAAAGAAACAAATTTTAAAACTATAACTGGCATATATGAGAAAGAAACCCCGTTTAATTTATTAACTACTTCCAAAGAACCCCAAAGACCCCCCGCCCCAAAAACCCCACTCATTCTGAGCAATTTTAATTTGCGCCCGCACAAAACCTAATACCTTTGCCTGCTATGCTTACAGCTTCAGAGGAGAACGTGCTATCCTACGAGGCCGTGCAGCGTTTATCCATCAACTATACGCGTCCCGTCATTATATTGGGACCGCTCAAGGATCGCATCAACGACGACTTGATATCTGAATATCCGGACAAGTTCGGCTCATGTGTGCCACGTAAGTAAAAGGGGCCAGTTTTTGTTAGTTTAGTTCGTAGTTTCCTCAAAATGTTTGAAGGTACGAACGCTTTTATTTTGGACTCTGTACAAACTAGACAGATCCGACTTGCTCTTATTTCAAGACCAAACAAATTTGTGCTATAATTGTTATAAAACGCTCTTGACTATGTTTACTCCTATAAATATAGCCAGATGATAAAAAGCTTAGCTTTCTATGAAGTTAATCCATATTTGGTTTTTATTTATGTGTCCTCCTTTGCAGATACCACGCGCCCCAAACGTGAATACGAGGTGGATGGTCGGGACTATCACTTTGTCTCGTCCCGCGAGCAAATGGAGCGCGACATACAGAACCACCTGTTCATTGAGGCCGGTCAGTACAATGACAATTTGTATGGCACCTCGGTGGCTAGTGTGCGTGAGGTGGCCGAGAAGGGTAAACACTGCATACTGGATGTGTCGGGCAATGCGATTAAGCGACTGCAGGTGGCACAACTCTATCCCGTGGCCATTTTTATAAAACCCAAATCGGTTGACTCGGTGATGTGAGTATAAATATTGGAATGCAATTATCTCATCGAAACTCATTCAACTAATTTCTGATTGTCGCCGATATAGGGAAATGAATCGACGCATGACTGAGGAGCAGGCAAAGAAAACTTATGAGCGCGCCATTAAGATGGAGCAAGAATTTGGCGAATACTTTACGGGTGCGTGTACTTTTCCTTTCAGAACTACATTTAAGCTTTCGAATTAGCCTAGTTTAACATTAGATAAATTACCGTAAATAGGAGTCTGAGTGTATAGCTAACGATATGCTAGCATTATATACACCGATTTGGTTTATTTTGTAATTTTTGACATAGATTCGACGTCTCGAAACCAACCTGAAAAAGTCCACTTTCCCCTTCCTATAATACGTCTGTGTTAGGCCCAAGTCTGTTTCAAAAAGAAAGAAATATAACCCCATTCAATTGAGCGCATCAAAAATATTTTAAATAAATTAAAATATGCAATATATTCTATACAATCTCGGAACAAAGATCTCTAAGGATCTTTTAAGATTCCTTTCGAAAATCTTACCTTCAAATAACATTTCTGAACATGCCTTTCTTTTTCAAAAGTGTATTTCATTAAAAATAATCACCTTTCGACTCAATACAAAGTTTGGCTGCAAGAACAACAGGTAATCCCTTCGAATCGTAGAAACAAACAAACATTCTCTTCACTTGACTTGATTTCTCCAAACGATTCTTTTGTCCGATTTTGGTCTCTTATTGACTCCCTAATGGTGTATCCTGAATGTCATGAAATTATCCTCAAATTTTTGACGAAATAAAGATAAAAGGTGTACCTCATGGTTGTGGCGCCAAGAAAATGGGATACTCTTTGAAAAAGTTCTATTACTTTCAGAATCAAAAGTAACGCTCGTGTGGAATTGTTGCACATATCCGAGTGATAAAGCCTCAGTGTTCTGGGAGTATTTTTTTAGTTTGCAAGGCATATATTGTGCCAGCTGCTAAGATAACTTGCTTGATAGGCAGTAATTACAACATTTATTTTGTATTAATTGTTGTCCTCTCTATCTCTTACAGGTGTTGTACAAGGCGATACAATTGAGGAAATTTATAGCAAAGTGAAATCAATGATTTGGTCGCAATCGGGACCAACCATTTGGGTACCATCGAAGGAATCTCTATGACCAACAGCCACAACAACATGGACACTGCCGCCTCGAGTACGTTGTCGACCAGTCTCGAGAACAACAACAAATCAGCCACAACAGAAGACGCCCCACTGATGATGCAACACAACGATGAACATGACGATGACAATGAGAAGATTATGTAGGCAGCAATGGATTTAAAAATGCTATAAAAAAGAGTCAACACCAACACTAAGATCAAGATCAATCAACAATATGAAAGGAATCGAAGATGAAGATGAAGAGACTAAGATAAAGACGAAGAACAACATCAACAAAATGTTTAATCGAAAATAAGTCGAAATAAGTCGCTTATTGTTGTAGTTGTCGTCTGGCCGACTGAATTGCTGTTCTTTAAGCACACACACACACACACACACACACACACAGAGACACAAAAAGTTCTGGCAGCGGCGTCGGCGGCGGCGGCTGTTTAGTTTTTAGTTAGAACAAAGTTTAATAACAAGAGAGCAAAAGCAAGCAAGCAAGCGAAGCAATGCGAAGCAAAGCAGAGCAAAATAAGAGAGAGTATGAGTTTATGAGCAGAAGTATAAGAAGAGGAAGAATATGAAGCAGGAGCAGCGGATGAGAGAGTAAATGTTCGTTAAACGCTAGTGTTGTTTGTTTTTGTTGATGTTTATGCGAGAGCCCTAGAGTTATAGCGAGTTAGTTATGTTGACGATAATGTGTTTATGGTAATATATATACACACATAAATATATATATAAATATATATATATACATATATATATATTATTCATACTAAATAACTATGTATAAGTACGACAATGTTAGCGTTGAACATATACAAATTTGTGAGAGCATGGCAATGAGTATGAGAATGGGAATGCTAATGATCATGATGATGATGAGACGCAGAAGTTGGTGATGATGAAGATGAAGAAGAAGAAGGCGCATACGAGTCGATGAATATGTTAATGAAACAAACAAAGTTGGTGCATTTGTTGTTAGATGTATGTAATTTTTTTTTCCCCACGCGCCTTTGCCTAAAAGCAACAACAATACACTCAAAGAAAAAAAAAACAAACAAACAAGCACACACACACGCCACATATACACACATATACGAGAAACAGAAAGACCCATCATCTATATATGTATAAAAGAGTATATACGATTTAGTCAGTAAATGAAGAAAAACAAAACGTACATATAGCGCGTTCGATTTAGTGCGACAAGTCATTTTACAATTTATACACATGTGCGACAAAAATAGGAACAAAAAAGCAAAAAATCAATTTGATTATAAAATTGTCAAACATGTGAAACGTTTATATAAGCATATAGCTATATGTATATATATATAGCATATATAGATAATATGTACGTATATAAATAATCACACAGACGACACACATACACACACACACACATCTACAAACTGGCACCAAATGCAGTTTCATTTTGCATAGTTGGTGAACAACAAAAAAAAAAAGGAAAGAATTTTATTTGATTTCAAAATTGTTTGAATTGACGCTGCTCGACAAAAATGCAACGCCTTAAAAAAGCAAAAAAGAAATGGGCGCGTCAACTTTAATTTTTAGCTAAAGCGACTATGTACTACAAATAATAATTAAAGAATTAAAGCAGGAAGGAGAAGGGAAAAGAAAACAAACGGGTTAGAAACATACGCATAATTAATAAAACAAATTGAGTAATTTATCATAACAGACCACAAATTATATACAAACAACATATACATACATATATATAGAGATATTCGTTTTGAGCTTCTCAATTTTCAATTCAATTTTAATTCGTCGAGCATTTTAGTGAAATGAAATTGTATTTTTGGTATACCTCCCTCTCTCTCTCTCTCACACACACACTCTCTCTTTCTCTATTTATATATGTATATATAGCAACTATGTACATTCATATATGGTAGCTACATACTATACATCTGTCAGATGTCAGAAAATGTATTTTATGTATTTTTAAATGGCAAACAATGCATCGATTTGAATACTTAATTACTCGTATATAATTGTATTATTATTTTATTTTTTTTATAATTTTATGTGCAAAGAAGAACCATGTCAGAACCATTTATTATTTTGTATTTAAATTCAATTGCAGAAATGAGAGTCCATTTTTTTAGTGTTACTTTTTATTTCTATCTCTCTCACACTCTCACTCTCTTCGCAAATTACTTATGTTAACAGCTAACTGTTATTCTCTTAAACACTCGTGTACTTCTATCGTATGTATGTACTATGTATATGACATTACAGTTAACTGCACCTTGAATATGGGAAGAATATTGAGAAGTAAACAAAAAGCCAACTAACAGCATATTCTTCTGTATGTAAACAACAACAACAAAACCACAAGCCACAAGCAACATCAAACTATTTATTTATTTTCAAAATATTTATTCAACACAACACATACTTAAAGTTCAAGTTAATGCATACTATATTACATAAATACATACATACATTTGCATATGTATGTATTATATGAATGGCTACTACATACACGCAAACAACAACACATACATACATATAAATATTTTTATAAACTACGAAAAGAGCATTGTTGTATTTAATGAACAAACAGAAGAAGAAGGAACACAAACAAAAACGAAGCGAAATATATTATATATTTAAATTTATAATAAAAAGCAAGTAAACTTAATTATAACTACAAATTTATAAATTTCACAAGCAAGTAGCTAAACGTTTGGTCTACGTATTGAAAGCAAAACAAAAGAAAAAACAAAACAAAACGATAAAAATACATACATGCAACTATACATATTTTATTAATATTTTTTTTTTTTAGTTTAAAACATAAATTGTATGAAAAAGAAACTTTAGCTAATTTACGCAATATGTACGAGGTTAATACATATAATACATACAACAACATTAATTAAAACTAAATCACCCCCCCCTCCATCCAGGATAAATTGTAAATCTTGAGAAATAAAAGCGCGCGGCCTACGCCAACAAGTTTGAGCAAATGTAAAAAAAAAACCAAACAAACTACCTGACATATTTTAAATATTTTTTATTTACTCGTATGTCCAATACCACCCGCCACACAAGCATTGAAAAGTATTTGATTCGGGTTAGTGCTACAGCAAGTGCTTTTGATTTCGAAATCAATTTGGGAATTTTCGCAAAATAGGAAACTCGCGATTTAATTCCAGTGCCATTGTATGAAGAAATTTGCATTTGATAAATTATTTCCACGCGTGCAATCGATTGGGTAAAGGAAAGGGAACATGTTTTTGACTGAGAGTTGAAATTTTGAATACAACAAGTCATCACTCACGAGTGCATGATATGGACGACCCGACCCGACCCAAAAGCGCCCCAACAGAGGATTTAGTAGGAATGGGGTACCAGGCGAGCATAAATCAGCAGCAAGCAGAATTCTTCAATTGTTTTTACTCTTTTCCCGGCTGTCCATTTGAGTGTAAACAAACCTCCACTAAGATCAGCCTGTGGGTACCGTTACAAATATGTCACTCATACGTAAACAATCTACCGATGGCAGCCTACATCTGCTTGTTGTTGTTTTCCAAGTGCGAGTGTGCTTGTGTATGGCGCTAGGCTTTTTGCCGACGTCCGTTATTTTTGTCAACACTTCTGTGTGTGTGTGTGTGTGAGTATGCAATGCGGCCAACGAAAGAGCGGCGCTCTTGTTATTTGATTTCTTTTCGTTACTTGCTGTTGATTTATGTTCGCCTGGTATTGCATGTAACTGTCTTACATGTGCTATCAAAACAATGCGGTGCGAGTCAAGACAAGCTTTGTGGTCATTCTTTTAGAACCAGTTTAAGTTTCGGTATTATAGCAACAGATTTCAAAGTACGCTAATACCGTTTTGAATTCAAACAACTATTTGATAAAATCTGATTTGAATTGGTTTCTGCGATCCTGAATTAGACGACTTCTGAGGCAAAATACTATGATGCTTTCAACCAAAATCACATTCTTATGCCCTGTACCCGAAGGCTGAACAGATAGAAGGCGTGGCAGACCACATTTTATAGGTACAGACATACATATGTATATCTATATTATCAATCGAAATAGGCGTCTCGATATAGACACCAAACTTGGCGTACTATATACATACATACACCTATTTAATCCGTACGCAGACCAAGTTTATCACAAACCACAGAAAACCTCATTATTTTATATATGTAGCTGCCATAGGAACGATCGGTGAAACAATCATTTTTGTTACGAAAAACTCTTTGGGTTTAACACAATATCGTAACCAAACTAATTTTCTTTTATAATGTCTGAACTATCATTAAAATCGATGCACATATATGTTACTGCCATAAGAACGATTGGTAAAAAAAAAAGTTTCTTATTTATTAAAGATGGGACGGGTACAGGGTGTACAAGATTTAGTACAGTACTACTACATTATATGGTTTAAGCTAAATTATTCCAATATTTAGACGGTTTATCCATGAACTCGAAATGTATGTTCTCATTTCGGACTTCGAGCAAAAGCTGTGGAATGGATATTGGTCAGTTTTTCAAATCCCGCAAAATAAGTGAACTAACTAATCGATCGGAATGGCTGTTACTAGAAAATTACTGAAAAGCCAAGCTCGTAGGAAAAACGTTCAAGACCAAAATCTCTAATGGGGTTGCGGAACTGTAAATATTTACCAAATTGAATATCGGAACAGACCTGGTGTGGTGTGGTGTGGCATTTATGGGCTTTAAACTCGATTCATTCATTTGTATTACTATAAGTTTTCTTATTTGTTGAATGGCGCAATACTAGAGAGGCCAAAATAGCCGCAGAACTTATGCTTATGTGCAATAAATTGCAACAAAAAGTCGCTCCATTGAAGTGGTCTCAAGGCTTCAAGAAGGAATCATACTATATTGCAGATATACATACACACATACAATACGAATATAATTAAAATAAACAAATCGGCGTATATCAAAAAAAAGAAGAAGCGTGAGCTCTCAGAACACCCACAACAACACATGCACACACACACACAAACTATTTTGGATCTAGCCTTAAAAATTGTTTATAGGAAGTAAGTAGCAGTGAGTTCCAAGCAAAAAAAACAAAAACAAACAGAAAATAAAAAAATTCAAATTCATAGAAGTATTCAAATTTTAAATATGAACGATTCAAATGAAAATCCTAAAAACTCCATTCTATTAATTCAGTATTTTATTTTTTACATATATCGAAATACATATATGCATATATATCGTACATACTATATACAATATATATATATATATATATACATGTACATACATATTCTGTATGTATTGACATTTGCGCATATTTATGTATAGAGAAGCGTTTCATCAAAATGTGCCTTTTTCAGTTGTTGTTGTTGTTAATGATCTAGAGGATGAATGATGAGAAAAATGAAGAAGAAGAAGTGGTGGAGCGTGGAAAAACCATTATTAGAGAATTGAAATCCGCATGCAGCTTAAATAGAATTTAAAGCAAAATGACATTAAAATTAGAATACAAGTATAGCGCGTTTGAATTACGTTATCGGCTCATAACACTTACATACCTACATTACATACACATACAAACATAATCGACATTTGTATTCGAATATATGAATACTAAAAAAAAAAACATAAATAAAATAAGTACATACTTAAATGATATTCAAAATGAAATGAAATAAAAGCAACTGCCACTGGCGATTCTAGAATTTTAAGAGTTGTCAACAAATTGATGTGTTTTTTGAATCACACCCAATCGATCTACATGCACACACACAACCACACACATACACACCCATCCACTCACCCATAGTTGTATTCATTCCGCTAAAATCAAATGTTAAATACATATTTGAAAAAACGAAAAATGCAGTAAAAACAGGAGAAAAAATGAAAACGAAAACTAACCAATAGCCTTTATATTGCGTGCACTTCCATTTACATGCTCTTATATAGAAATAATATCGCGCTGTTCTTATTACAATATTATGTATGTATGTGTGTATTTGTAGATACAAATACCTTAGCTTTAAGATACAATATACATATTTATTTCACGAGCACCCTTGGATTGTAGTTCATGAGTGCGCTGCTACATTTCTTCAAATCGCTCTGCAACAAATACCAATGCGACTTAGTATTAGAGCACTGCTTGGTTGCATCCACACACACACACACACACACACACAATCGCGCGTTCCAATCATTCATCATCATTCAATCGAACCTATACACTAAGACAAATGAATTACTTGTGGGTTTGTTTGTTTTGTTTTCAAATTTGAAATTCAAATGCATTTTGTGTGCACACACGCAGTGCTCTAATACATACATATGTATTTGTGTATATACATATGTACTGTCTAGTCCTTTACTAAATATATCTGAGCTTTGGCCAAGCTGTTGCCTAAATTCAATGTACAATAGTTAAGTGAATATCCTCACCTAAAACTACTTATGAATAATGGAATAATGAATCGATTGCGATACAATTAAATCAAATGCTTCATAACACTAACCTAGCACAACACTGTAATTTTTGTTAACATTTTCCAAGAATAGCGAATAACTTACATACCCTATATATACATACAATATATATATAGCCAAACCAACTCGGAAGTTGATGACAACAAATCAAACGACAGCAATATATTTCATATTTACGAGACTATATACTATATACATACATGCGCGTTGATTCATTCTAACGAATACACTCATCCATACTCATACGCATACTCTATACAAACAAATAAACAGACAGACAGACAGACATACATACATAAGGAAAAAGAAAACTTGAACTTAAAGCTGTATGTACTCCTGTATATATGGGTTCAAAACACACATACACGTACGTATATGTATTTAAAAAGTAAACAACTAATATTAATTATATACCGAATGACATGCAAATCTTTCAATACGCATGCCCCTATGTCTTATGTAATTGTTCATCCGAAGCGAAAAGGAGAGACACTTGAAATAAACAAAAACAAAAGAATAAATACGTAAAGAAAAAAAATCCATTGAGAACATTTAAAAAAAAAGAACTCCTGCTGTTTCATTATTGGAGAGAAGATGTGTATTTTGGGAATTATATTGACTCGTCATTCGAACTACTTTCTCTGGCTTGTGTTTCTTTCCTCTAGTAGATTCGACTTGGTTTGCTTTTAGCCCGAAAAGAAATTAAATATGACATCCTTTCCCCATTTTCCCAATTTGTGGGTTGAATTTTCAAGAAAAACAAAAGCACAACAACCTCTTAATTATTGGCTCATGTATTGATTTTATAAATAATTTATAATTGACATGAAACCCCCACTTGGGGGTTGAATTATGAAAAAAAGAATAAATACACAAGCAGAATAGATAGATTACATATGACATATAGCACCTAATTATGCCAAAATGGAGTGAAAATTTAAATACAAAGGCACACCTAGATCCTGACTTTAAACGAATAAAGCTGAAAGAAAAGCTTGGGTTAAATTTAACCACTATCGTTGCTTTCTAGTACGCTAGTAGTTTAGATCAGACGATGAATAAATGAACCATATATCTATATATATTCGTATAGATGGCTGATATTTTGAATGAGCATTTCATCAAACTGATGATGTATGATATCAGGGAATCAAATTTGTACGCTTTTTTTTTGATAAGAAAGTAGGCTGAGGCCTACAAGTGAGTTCTCTTATTATTTCCGGCATAATCTGTTTTATTTTGGGACTCAAAATTAACGATCTATTAGAGTTGTTAATTTTCAAAATTATTCCAAAATTCCCGCGCACGCTTTCATTTGCATTGCACTATCAGCATGGCGAACCCCCTGAAGTTCCATAGCTTCCAAAAATGTATCCGGGCTTCGAAGCAATATCGACTCATACGCAGCACAAATCGTAAGGTCCAGCCTAGGGGGGTGGTGCCTAATCATTCGAAACCTTTCCAATTGCAGGTAAGTTTGCTGCGCCTCGCGAATGCCCGCCGGGTCCTTTACGGCGTTTGCTAACGCAGATCCGAAAGAGTTCAAGTCTGACTGGTGTTGGGGTGCCGAACCCGGTGCCGGACAAATCCGCCGAGAAGCCAAGCCAGAGGGGTGAGCATCCACTCCAAGACTATGGGGAAGTATGGGACCTTTCATTTGACTGACTGCCCTAAACCCAAGGTAAGGCTCTCAACAAAAGCAATTTCAATCTTATAGTAGGTATATGGTATGCTAATAATTGAAGAGCTCCTTCAAATGGTCCCATGCTTTCCATATTCCATGTTATTTTGTAAGACTAGATATGATGGGTGCATGTGTGTGCTTGTGGGTGTGTCTATGATTACAGGGAAGTCTATCAGAGCGCAGTACATGAGTAAAAATTGCGAAACTGAGTTGCCGAAGAGCAGTGCGATGTGGCATTTGATGGTAAGCCTGGAGACGGCACAGAAGATGAGCACCCAGTTCCAGAGGAAGCAGCTCGGCAATAAGTCCACGAGTGCTATACGTTTGAACAGCTACTACAAGGACTCGCCACAGAAAACGACCCCACTGAAGCGGACTAGGCCCAAGCTAGTGGGCTATGTTAGTAGTACGCGATCGAGCGTGGGCATGCCCTCAAAGCCCAGTAAAGTGGGATCTGCTCTGAAGTTGCGTTCGAAATCGGAAGCGGTTAACAATCGCCAGCCACGGCATTTACAACAACAGCTACTCAATAGCGTTAATCGGAATCCAAAAGATCCGACAATAGGGCCAAACAATCGCAGCAGTAACATACACAACCGAATGCTCAAAATAAAGGCCATGGTGCGCCCAAATGGGGAACTGATCAAGACAACGCCCCGAGCCATACGCCTCAATACCTTCTATAGAACATCGAAAACACAGCTGGTGCCCTGTGCCGAGTCGTGCCAAACCTTAGCGCCCGCACACTCCGCCCAGAAGACTTTTCAGTCTATAGCCGAAATGATACGTCAGGCCACAAATCGAATTTTCCAGTCCCCCTACGAGCTGCAGGAGGAGGATGATGTCGTTGATGAGAAGCAACCCTGCGATTGTGAAGGCTGTCAGGCCAACCAGATCGACAACATAGTAGATCCGAAGTGCGACTGCAAATGGTGCATGGCTAATGCCCAGACCCAAAAGTCGGACGACTCTCCACCCTGTGACTGCGACTTCTGTCAGACGCTGGCAGAGGAAAACCCCACAGAGGACTATCCCCCCTGCAATTGCGATTACTGTAAGGAGGGTGGAAGCGCTGATATAATTGGACAAGAAAGTGAGCAAAAATCCGATAAGGACTTCAATATATATAGCTGCAAGTCATCGTACATCGATAATCCCTATAATGCGAATGAACATAATTCGAATAATTTCGAATGCAACTGCAAGGATTGCCAGGCTGCTGAAAGAGATTTCCATGAGCAGGAGCAGGAGGAGGGGTCGAACGAGTATATGGAATCGGATTCTGCTTGCCCTCATACCGAGACCCAATGGGGTCCAGCCAGCAAGCTAGCCGAAAAAATCAAATCCTTCTTGAGCGAAGAGGAGAAAAATTTGAAGGACCTATGCCACAAGTTCAATTTTCTGCAATCAGGCGAAAAGGAAGTTGTGGAACCCTGCAAAACACAGCCTAAGGCCAGCATTAAAACGATGGCAGCTACATCGTACAAGGCATCTCCGACTCCCACCGAGCCGAACAAAGCGTTGAGCCTCAACCAACGTAAATGTCCGGAGAGCGACAGTTTACAAAAAAAGTTCCACACTCGCGTGTACGAGAAACCTAGATATTATCATATGCCGGACAACAGCTGTGCCAGGCAGACTATTACAGGACATTCTAGCCAGAAGACAGAGAAGCTAATTAAAGATCCACAGCAGAGGAAGGATGGCAGGCAGACTATTACAGGACATTCTAGCCAGAAGACAGAGAAGTTGATTAAGGACCAACAACAGAAGAAGGATGATAGGCAGACGGTTGCAGGAAAATCTAGCCAAAAGACAGAGAACCTAATTAAGGACCAACAGCAGAAGAAGGATGATAGGCAGACTTTTGGAGGACATTCCAGCCAGAAGACAGATAAGCTAATTAAAGATCCACAGCAGAAGAAGGATGGCAATCAGAGTGTTTCAGGATATTCCAGCCAGAAGACAGAGAAGATGATTAAGGACCAACAACAGAAGAAGGATGATAGGCAGACTGTTGGAGGACATTCCAGCCAAAAGACAGAGAAGTTGATTAAAGATCCACAGAAGAAGAAGGATGACCGACAGACTATTGCAGGCCATTCCAGTCAGAAGACAGAGAAGCTTATTAAGGACCAACAACAGAAGAAAGATAACAGACAGATTGCTGAAGGACATTCTAGCCAGAAGACAGAGAAGCTAATTAAGAACCAACAACAGAAGAACGATGACAGGCAGACTGTTGGAGGACATTGCAGCCAAAAGACAGAGAAGTTGATTAAAGATCCACAGAAGAAGAAGGATGACCGACAGACTATTGCAGGCCATTCCAGTCAGAAGACAGAGAAGCTTATTAAGGACCAACAGCAGAAGAGGGATGGCACAGATATCGTCAGAGCCGTACGCTCAAGAACATGTGACAACAGTGTCCCTAAAAGGGGACTAAGCACCGGCCGAGAAGGTGTACAAGAAAACAAAGATGGGGGCGACACGGACGCGACATTGAACATTAATATTAAGGTGGCCCTAGATGCCAAAGAGGTTACCAAGGCGCTGGGTAAAATGCGCCAGAGCTGCGCAGAACAGCGAACCACTCTAAATCCAGTGGCAGAGAACAGGACAATTGAAATGACGCCCAAATCGGTATCGATTAGCGGCATTATAGCACCACCAACCCATGGCAAATGCACCGAACTCGCAGAGGCTCCCTTAGAGTTTGATGCAAACGCATTGAGTCCACAGAGAGAGTCCAGTAGAAGCAGGTCTGTGGAGAAGCCTAACAATTTTTGCCTTGACGCTGACAGCGAAAGCAAGAGAGTCCAATCGCTTAAGGTCCTGAATCCAAGCAGATGTCAGGCCGTGAAAGTTCCAGAGATCTTACCAAATATGGCTCCAGAGAATGATGATAACTGTATGCCCAGATGCATCATAAAATTGGAACCAATTATAGAGCTCAACGATGAACCTATGTCCCACAAACTGGCACCAGAAACCGTAAACCCAGTGACCAGAAAAGATCTACACGGCTGTCTTGAACGCTGCAGCATGCTCCCGCAGACGCTGAATGGAGTTTCGGAAGGAAAGAAGAAGCAACAAGATGCAAGCACCACCAATACCTTGGGGCTTCCAAAAACAACAACAACATCAAGAGAAGATCTGCGTGCGCTGAGCTTAGGCCCAAAAAGGGGAAGCTGGGAGGATCTCTTGGGGCTGAATCATAGGCTTAGAAAAAGTCACATAACGTCCGCAGATCCCCAAACAGCTCTGATTGCTTTTCCAACGAAAAATATTGCCCCTGCCAGTACTGATAAGGCGCGGCCAAGATTTCCTTTCCATGGATCCACGACAAATGATGGCAATATGTGTGGGAAGATTTCAGTTTTTAATGCGCCCGCTGATTCAATTCCAAATCGAGTTTATTGCAAGAAATCAGCAGAGGACTGTAGGGAGGAGGAGGATGCTGATATGTCTGTGGACCTCGCAGACTGTCCAAGCGAAGAGGATATGGAACGAATTAATCAATGTGCGAATGCTTTAGTGGAGTCCCTAACCACTGGTTGCGTGCCAGATTCCCCCGTTGTTAGAGATATTTTCAAAACAACCGAAGCTCTCGATAAATTCATCAATGAGTGCAAAAAAGACTCGGCTTTCGCATATATCCTGCCCCAAAAAGAGGAAAAACCGGTGTATGAGGAAATGTTAGAGGACGACGCGTACGCATTGATCGATGAGCCTGAACCACCCAAGGATCTGATGCTAGACAATGCAACTGAGTGCAATAATGCGGTTAGTATTTCCCGATGCAATCTCATTCTAAAAATCTCACTAAACCGATCTATTCCCAGGGTATAAGCTGTGCCGAGCTGTGCTATTTGGACAGCGATGATATGAATAATGTGGAGTATGAAGATAATGGTAATCATGACTTCCTTCTAACCGCTGAGGCTGTCGACAGCTTTCTCAATGAGTATCAAAAATATGCCGATTCGCTAAGTCCGGACAACGATCAAGCAGCTGAGTCGCCTCTCTGTGAAATGGTTCGTCTCTTTCAAATAGATGGACAGTTATTTCTTGAACACAGTTCCCTGTCTCCATCCATAGATTCCTTCAAACCTGCAATGCCCGGAGAACGAAGTGACGGTACCAGTGCCTGAGACAAAGTCTAAGATGCCTGTTACAAACATAATCGAGCATACAAAAATATCTATCAAAGGAAATGATCAAGAAGCAAAGGAACAACATCATTGCGCAGAATCTGAGGAGCAGGAAGCTAAGAATGGCAAAGACCTGGCCCACTCTCCCAAAGCTATGCCACAGTTCCTGTCTAAGTCGAAGGGTTGCATTAACCTTCAGATGGGCGTGAACTCTATGGTTGGCTCAGCTGAGACGAAAACAGTCGCCACAATTCTGCAAAATGATGGGCAGGCTGTGGAAATAACAATTGAACGAAAAGTTGAGTCCAGCGCCATTGAATCCAATACCCAAGGGGATTAACCTAACCAGTTTACTGAGCAGGGGATATTCGACAGAGCTGAGAGGCAAAGCAATGAACTAAATTTGATAAATTTTTACTTGGTTTCGGCTGCAAACATTCTAACAATAATAAATATAGACAGTTTCACAAACTTGAATGCTGGATCGGCAACCTTTTTTGTGACGAAACCTAAGCACGGTAACCGGCGCATATAAATGAAGAGCAAATTGACGGTAACGACGGGTTTTTCTATTATTATTTTAGCGAGTTTTATAAATTTTTAAAGCATATTCTAGCCATTTTCCAGCGGTTCTTCTAGCCACTAGCGGATATTATACTTGTATCTATTTTTTATCTATTTATGGCAGTTTTGTATTCATTTTCCAGCCATTTTTAGCTGGGTTAAGTGGCCTTTCTTGCTATTTATAGCAGATATTCTAGCGATACTTACTTATAGCCGTGTTTCTAGCCATTTTTTTTTTTATAATCGACAGCAAGTCTAAGCTATGCTTCTCAAGCCAAAGGCACAATATTTATCAACCATTGTTGAGTTATTATGTAAAAGAAGCTCCCTTTACCAATCTAACAAATTAACTTAAATTAAATCATTCCAATACAACCAAAACACAGATTTTTTTCTGTTTTCACATTTCAGAGAGAAATGGTCGGGGTCACTATTTCTTTACGATTGCTCTCTGTTTGTTTCTTTAGAGCAAGTTTAGAAACTCTCTTAAGATTATGAGACTAGGCTTTTCCTATATTAATAAAACTTTAAACGTTATGCGACGGTTGAGCCATTATTAAAACGTTGACGTCTTCACATTAATATAGTTTTGTTTTAATAAGTACATTTTTAATGAAAGTTAAAATATGTCTCATACCTGTTGCTACCAGAATAGAGTGCGTTGTTAGCTTTACTCTCCGGAAAAAGGTGAAAACAAATGCACAATTAATACGAGTTCTAGTCTGTAGCGTAAATCGATTTCTTTTTGCTTAGCGCTTAAATGTGTTCCTAGTTTGTGTCTCGCCTGAATTAGGCCTAGGTAGTGTTATTTAGAATCGAGCTCCACTGAAGTATTGCCGAATGCTTCGATACTAGATAAGGGACGGTTAATGGACTTTGCATTGCGTGCTCAAATTGTCTGGCCAGACAATTATTGGGAGTGCTTCACACTAGTGTCGATGAGATGCAACCAAATTGGGGGATGATAGCAGTGGACGTTTATTTACACCTTGTTCGCACTGCCCAGATACAAATCGAACTGCACTAGGGTTATGAAGTAGGAGAAGGCCGTCACATTAATCAAGTACACCAGACGTCTGTCCAAGTGCAGTAGACCGCACAGGTAGGGCTGGCGCCACTGAAGCAATTGTAGCGAGAAGTGTTCGATCTGTGGAGGAAGGAACAAATGATTCCTTTCAAGTTTCATAGTTCAGATGAGCACTCACCTCCTGATCCAGACGCACGTCTAAGGTGGCCTGTTCGGTGAATCTGCGCACGGTTAGCGCAATGTGCTCCATCTCCTCCTTGATATTCTCATTGACCAGCGTCACGATATATGTGTCTATATAAAAGCCCAGTGCATAGAGTATGTAGATCAGTACAGGGTATGAGATCTCCTCGAGACTCTGCTTCGACAGCATGTTGAATAGAGTGAACAAATTGGTCAGATTGTTGATGAGAGTCGTCAGCATCAGGCCGAGCAGCTGGAACTGATGCATCTCCAAGCTCTCCTCGTGCAGCGCATTGATCTCAATGAAACGTTCGCGCAACAGAGCCAGGCGATCGCAGAGCCTGCAACAGTGATGCGGCAACATTCCTCCTCGGGGCAGTGCTCCCAGCTTCCGGAATTGACGCGACACCGTTCGCAGCTGCACATTCAGCTGCCTGTGATACTTCAGTACGCTGTGGCTGATCCAATAAAAATAGTCGGCCATGTTCTCCGTGTAGTTCCACAAGACGAAGCCATAGATGGCAAAGAGCATGCGCAGCCAACTCTCGCCGCGCAGCGCACAAATCCCACACGCCTGTATGATCATCATCAGGTTGATCAGACAGAACTTGAAGTACATGAAGAACTCGAAGCGGCGGCGATTTCGCGATGATCTGCACAGAGATCTGGCGAATAGGGCCTCGAGTCGCTGACGCAGCAGTGTGCAGCGATGATTGATTGCCTTAAAAAGGAGATTATTATAAATTATAAATTATGTGTGAAAAGTTTGGTTAAGGAAGCTTTTTAAATGTGGACGGTATTGACGAAATACTGTAGCGGGGGAAGGGGGGAAAATTAAAAAAAAAAAAACAAAATATTGACAGCACATTTTATAATACTTTATTTCGAATAACTCAACTCAACAACAACACACCCTTGAGTCTTTTTTGCTCCTTCTCTTATTCGGAATCGGAGGAATCTTCCGGCATCTGGGACGGTATACTCTTAGTAGAGGGAATATTGATTCCCGAGCTACTTCCCACCGATTCCGGTTCATTTTCCAAGGCCTTCAAGACATCATCCACGTGCGTGCTCAAAAAATAGTGATTGTTGTAATTTTGAACAGCGCCCAGTGCTTGTGCTTTCTCTAGAATCCTTGCAACCTTAACTTTAACTTCGGCGCGAGAGTCTGCGTTCATGTATTCTTCGTAAAACATGCAACATATCTCATCAGCCAGTAAAGGCTCATTTGCAGAGCGCATGACCGCTACCAGATTTTCACAGTTTATCGCAGCGGGAGGAGCCATTCTAAACAAATTATTTTGCACAAAAAAAATGCGTAATTTTTGAATAAATTCAAAATATTTTCTCGAAAATGTTTGGTGCTAGCGTTTCAAAATCTAGATGCTGAATAAACTTTCCAGTTCCCTAAAAATAACCCACTCGAAATGGAAAGCAACGATTGCTGAGTTATAGTAGAAATTCATATGGCTATGTTTTCAATACAATTGAAATATTTTAATAAGAATGATTATTCTAGACTGCCCAATCAAAACCAATAAAATAAACTCAAGATTATTTAATATACTCTTTTTATCTTACAAGTATATTACTTTTGTTCAAATATGCTCGACTCCAGAAGATAAATAAATATTGTATTATTGATCTGCATGACGAGACAAATCGATAAGGACGGTGATCACACATCGACCACATTGGAATATAGATTATCCTAATCTTCTGTCTTGTATTGTCCTTGGAGACTTACAGTATATTAGAATAGGAATAAGCACTGTTCAAGAACCGCTTACCCGAAAAGAGTGAAGTTGTTCGAAATTTCGTAATATTTAATATTTAATTTAATTCGTAATATTTAATGGCATTCAGAGACCGTGAAAAATGTTTTCTTTTGAAAAGAACTGTACAAAGCCAGGAACATACATAAATTTCTGCTATAATTACTTAGAAAGGAATCCCATATATGGGCATTCATAAGGTGGGTAAACGATTAAAACCAAATATCCAAATAGTGCTTGACAGCTTTAAAATGGGTATATTTCTCAAAAGGGGAGATACATTAGCAGCACGAAAAGGTCTCATGTTCATGTCGGATCCCAGATTGTCTTAATAATAGCTTTCATGCTGAGAATGCAAGCTCTGTGTTCAAAAGGAACGTTCTTACAAATTTTGGGCTGTGTTATAGAAAGGCAACAAAATGTGTGCTACTTGGGGCCATTTTCTAGAGTATCTCTTTGTATACCCTGTACCCGATTTGGGTAAAAAGGGTATATTAGGTTTGTGCAAAGTATGATCAGCATGACGAGAGAAATCGATGTCCGTCCGTCTGTTTGTCCGTCTGTCTGTCTGTATGAACGCAAGAATCTCAGAAACTATAAAAGCTAGAATAACTTAAGTTGGTATCCAGATTCTCCTAGGTCCGGCAAAGGACGAGTTTTGTTTTATTTTTTGGAATTTTCCCCCCTTCCCTTCCTACAGAATTTCGTCAATACTGTCCACATTTTAAAAGCTACATAAACCAAACTTTGCACACGCAATCTATGTACAGTTATCTACTTTAGTTTAATTTTATCCAATTCGGTCAGTTCTAAGCAAAGTTAGCGAAAACGTAGACATTAATTTCTACTATAACTCAGCAATCGTTGCTTTCCATTTCGAGTGGGTTATTTTTAGGGAACTGGAAAGTTCATTTAGCATCAAGATTTTGAGAAGCTAATACCAAACATTTTCGAGAAAATATTTTGAATTTATTCAAAAATTACGCATTTTTTTTGTGCAAAATAATTTGTTTAGAATGGCTCCTCCCGCTGCGATAAACTGTGAAAATCTGGTAGCAGTCATGCGCTCTGCAAATGAGCCTTTACTGGCTGATGAGATATGTTGCATGTTTTACGAAGAATACATGAACGCAGACTCTCGCGCCGAAGTTAAAGTTAAGGTTGCAAGGATTCTAGAGAAAGCACAAGCACTGGGCGCTGTTCAAAATTACAACAATCACTATTTTTTGAGCACGCACGTGGATGATGTCTTGAAGGCCTTGGAAAATGAACCGGAATCGGTGGGAAGTAGCTCGGGAATCAATATTCCCTCTACTAAGAGTATACCGTCCCAGTTGCCCGAAGATTCCTCCGATTCCGAATAAGAGAAGGAGCAAAGAAAACTCAAGGGTGTGTTGTTGTTGAGTTGAGTTATTCGAAATAAAGTATTATAAAATGTGCAGTCAATATTTTCTGTGACTTAAGGGTAAAAGGGTATAGTAAGATTGTGGGAGTATGTATGTAGCAAGAAAAATAATAATAATATAAGATAGGAGTTCTATTCAGTTTCGACATAAAACTACTAAGAGTCCTTAGGTTGCAGAAGAGAAAGACGTTTTGTAAATATTACTTAAGGATATTTACTATGGAGAGGAAATGGGTAAGTCATAAGAATAGGTTGCAATAAATTCATAGACAATCATGACTTGTCTGGTTTCTGAGTTACATCAATCCTTCTCTGGGGTAAATAGAAGACTAATAGACTTCTTCTGTAGCATAAGACAAGGTTAAGTTCAAGTGTCATATATGATTGGTTTTGTGAGAATAGAATAGTTTGGGAAATTATTTATTTCTATACCCTATAATATTCCTTTTCCTTTCCTGTTACAAACCACCTAAGATTTGAAGTAAACTTATGTAGAGATGATATCTCTTATTTTACTTGTATTTGATAAATATGGCAATATATCCTACCTTGAAATGCACCGTGTTGGCAATGTAGGTGACAATGACTGTGGCCAGCTTGATGAGGGTGTTGGAGAAGGACACATAAAGCAGGAGTTGCATGCGATGATCGCGCGTCTTCGTCAGCTCCTGGTAGTGATAGCCAAAATAGCAGGGCAGCACCAGAATCAGCAGAAGGCTGAGCACGTGGCCGTAAACAATGGAGAGCTTCTTCAAAATGGGTCGCATGGGTCGCTGCGGCACATAGTCGATGACCGCCTGCCCATAAATACTGGCATAGATATGGCCGTACCTATAGAACTTGAGCTCGTGTCGTTGCCAAAAACTGAGAGCCGGAGCGGGCATGACGCCGATTCGGTGGCTCTGAACGCACTGAAGCGGGATTAATGCCTGACTGATTTTGGTGGCGTGCGTGTACTTTGTGATGATAGATATAATAGTATTGGGGGACATGCAAGCGTCGCACGGATAGTGGGGTTGATGGCAATGGCGGCCAGGACTCTATTGAAAGGATTTGGCCAGCGCTATAATGGAGCCAGATGTTTGCAAAATCTGTGAAGAAAGAGCATTGAATAAGCATATAAGTATTTATCAAAAATCAAATTGTTATCACATTACATATATTCCAAAAAATATACAAATATATCTGATTATATGAGGAATTCAATTGTGAGACAGTTCTTTGATGGTCATGGCTTAGTAATATTCGTAATACCCACACATTTCAAATGAGTAAAAGGCTAAAAAAAGGGCTACTTGTTTATACCCTTAACTAAAATAGAAATACATAATATAGTTTACGGATTGCAATTTAAATGCAAGATTAAATATATATATATAAAGATAATTAAAAATATGTTTGGCACTAAGAATGTTTCTTACATAATCAGTTCCTGTGTCAGCTATATAGTATAGTAAAGCGCACCATTTGAGTGAAACTTCAAAATATAATGGAACATAGCTAAGTAAATCATCAGGTCAAGTTTGCTGTCCCTAGCCATAGTGGTTGAAGAGTTCTCCCTGTTCATACAGTCGAACAAACAGATGGATGGTCTACTTATATCCGGATTATACAAACTCATTTTTGTATGAAAGAAAGAACAATAACAAAATAGCTGTTATTTAAGATATTTGCTATAAATTTCATTAAGAGACACCTTCCTATTGGTTGATCTGAATTACATATGTGATAACTTTTCGTTTTCTTTTTTATATAATTGTTATAATTATTCCTGAGATATATACACATGTTTTACAACATTTTTCAGATCCCAAACATCTGAAGATCAGAAAATGAAGTCAGGAGCAGTTTTGAAAAGTGGTTGATTTTAAAGAGTTCATCCTCAACTACTTTAAAATACGCTTCTTTGCACTTCTATTTATATGTTAAGACCTTCAACAAATGATTAATTATTTTATCTTTCAACACTTTCTTAAAAGTATCATCTGTTTACATCGCTTCATCTGTCAATTATTGAAATAATATAATGACTTCAACACTTGCGAACTGATTTTCATTCAATAATTAATTATTTGATCTGATTTTAATATTCAAAAATAATAATAATTATATTGGCGGTGATAATCGTATTGCGAAACTGGTGTATTATTTTCAATTCTTTCTTAAGCATATTATCTGATTACAAAACAATTTTTTTTTTAAGAAACAAAAAAATATCGTCAAAACTATTTTACGACCATAACTTTAACTTTTGATTAAACGTTTCTTTTTTGTTCGAGATAAGAAATGTTGGAAAAAACTGTTATTTGGAAAGGGTTCTAAGAATGTAGGGACGATCAAGTACTATACAATACCGTTTTTCAAAACATAAAATGAGTGAGAACTGGGAATATTTAATATCACAGAAACGACACTGGCAAGTTCAAAGTTAAAAATGCCTGAAAAAAACTGTCCTTTGAAAAATAATGCTTGGACGATCAAGTACAATAGTGTTACAGAATCTTTAAATATATAAGTAGTACATACCGAGGCAAAAGTTGCCAGTAGGGGCACAAAAAATGGCACTTCCATGCTGACCGCTCGCTGTGATCTTAGGATCAGAAGCAGGATATAGCGACGCTGCCGGGGCTTGCACAGCTGCCACGGGCAGGAGCCCACCACAATGGCCAGGCGGGCGCTCTGCAATATCGAGAGGGTCGTTATTAACATAAACATATGATCATGATCCTCTTCCACTCACACTCTCAGCCACCAGAGTGCCACCATAGCAGTAGATGAGCAGCTGACTTAAGGCCGCCACCGTAAAGGCAACGTAGAGCAGGGTTCCTAGTCCATTATCGCTGACGGTTAGCAAGTCTATGATGCTAATGGCAATGACCACGCCCGCGGAAAGAAAGTGGGCGAGTGTGATAATCGTATAGCGTTGCCGGAAAAAAATCGTCAATTCGATGATCTCATTGTGGCGCCTAATGAGCATCAAGAGGCCACGTTCAATGTGCAGGCACTGCTCAGCACTCAGCTCCAGATGATCTGCAATAGAACATATATAGAATAGAAAATATAGCAGAGCAGACTCCCCAAATCGATTTACCTCCGTAGGGCTGAAAGAGTCCGCGCAGATCTGCCTGAAGCGACTTAAACAAGGCGGCTGTGTGGGTACAGAACTCAAAATAGAAGGCGTCGCAGCCACCGAACATGAAGATCGTGACATAGCCCGTGTAGGCAATAAACATATAGGTGAGTGGAAAAAAGGGCGACTGCAGCATGAGGCGTGGCATTCTATTTATAGAAAGAATCATGAATCTAAGCATATATTTCGTTCGCAAATCAATTACGATCGAACATGGGCGTTGCCAGTGTCCCATTGGGTAGAGCAAGGATTTCTTATTGATTATTTTATTTGATTTCTTTTACTTTATGCAAAATGTTAAAAAGATTTGCTAAATTTTAAATCTTCTTCTAGATATAGTTTTTATTTATTTCATATTTTTATACCCTGTACCCAAAAGGGTACAAGGGTATATTAGTTTTGTGCGAGTGCACATGGAACACACAGAAGGAGGCTTGGTAGACCCCACAAAGTATATATATTCTTGATCAGCATGACAAGCCGAGTCGATATAGCCATGTCCGTCTGTCCGTCTGTCCGTCTGTCTGTCCGTCTGTCTGTCCGTCTGTCCGTCTGTCTGTCTGTATGAACGCAAGGATCTCCGAAAGTATAAGAGCTAGAATAACCAAACTTGGTATACTGATTCTCCTGAGACCGAGAAAGGACGAGTTTGTTCATTTTTTCTGATCCACCCCCCCACTCCCCCCCTATTAACGATTTTCTATAACTTCCGTAATTCTTGGAATTTTGAACTAAAATTTGGTAGTCACATTAGGTTAGTTATTATATAACCGTATACCAAGTCTCATTATGATAGAATGATCGGAAAGAAAGTTATAGCCATATAACCAGGCCCAATGCACACATACATACATATGTACAAGTACACAAACACGCATAAGGCACGATTCTGATGTAAATGTAAATGTATGTATGCATGCATGGAATATTTTATATTTAATTTAGTTAATTAATTAAATTAATTTAGTTAATTAATTAAATTTAATTAATTAATTAATTTAATTACTTTTTTGTGGGGTGGTACAGGGTATTTAAGAGTTGAGCCTGCTCGACTTTAGCATTCCTTTCTTGTTATTTATTTCAACCCAGTATGACTGCACAAGGACAAGCGATTGCGTCAAGGAAGTCCTCATGCAACCCATTTTTTTGTTGCTGTCTGTCTGTATGAACGTCTAGATTTCGCAAAGTATAAGAACTGTGGCAACCAAACTTAATGTGCAGGCTCTATTAATATTTATGCACATTCTATATTAGTTAGATGTGAAGTCCAGGATGCGTGGCATCCTAACAAAAGAAAGAATCATGACTCCATGTATATATTTCGTTCGAACATCAATTAAGATCGGACATGGGCGTTGCCAGTACCCTATTTGGTAAAGCAAGGACTTATTATTGAATATTTTATTTGATTTCTTTATTTTCTTTCTTTATTTTATTTTCACTTTCACAAAATGTTGGATCAAGTTGCTAAATTATAATTTTGTCTTCTTTCACATTTAGTTTTAATTTTTTTGAAGGGTCAAAGACGACCTCATGCAAGCCATTTTTGTTGCCGTCTGTCTGTATGAACGTCTAGATTTCGCAAGGTATAAGAACTGGGGCAACCAAACTTAATATGCTGACTCTTTTATGATTTATGCACATCGTATATTAAGTCGCAAAGATATACATAAGCGGACTGATGAAGTTATAGTATGTGCCTATTTATTAGATAGTTTTTAAAAAGTTTTACTTCGCTCCCAGTGCTGATCACCCAATATAACTTAAATTTAATAATGAATACGAAACAAAATATACTCACGTCATATTGAAGGGCGGATTAAAAACTACCTCATGCCCTTGGCGGTACAGCAGCAGTGCGATTAGCAGAGGCTTCAGATTGTAGGTGGTGCAGGTGAAGAAGCCTGTGGAGAGGGGCCAGAAGTTGAGACGTGCCGCCAGCATGCAGTGCCGACGCATTATAACTCGCTTCTCCTGCCTGCTGCCCAGCTCGGATTGGAGTCCAAACAACAACTGATTGAGTCGCGCCAGCACATAGGCCAGATCCCTCCGATAGCGCAGCATTAGGAACATTTTGAGCAGAGTTACGGCTGAAGTGACAGCCGGACAGAGTGTTTCCAGTGCGAGTGTAATTTGGGCTTGTTTTAGAAAGCTGAAGCCCGCATGGAGTTCCGTGGCTACGCCTATGCCGAGTACCAGAAAATTGAAGTACGCCCGATTCTGCACATCCACAGGCCAGTAGCCCATGATGCCAAGGCAGAGACGCGGTACGGCAAAGAAGTACAGCTTCAGGGGCTGGTTGCGTCGCAGGAACTTGAAGTGCTCGACCATGGTGGGTGCATGCTGGTCTTGGCAAAGCCATCGGCGCTTATATAGCCAAGCAATCCATTGCATAACCATTGTCATGGCCTAATTGACTTGTTATGCAGACAATTAGAAAAGTTTTGCGCCCAACCTAGACCTTAAGGGGGCGGCTTCTAAGGGCACGTATGTAGCTCAATCGTTGTATAACGATCCATCAATTTCATAGGCATATTATTTAATTATTTATGAAGCCATTTAAACACTATTAGAATATATTGTGTTGGATCTGTAATCGATTGGGAAATACCTTCAGAAATTATCATTAAATAAAAGACTTGAATACAGGGGGTTTCTTCGATAGTACAAGTATTTAAGTGGCTTTTATGGGAAAGGTATTGTAAATAAAAACAGACATGTTTTAAACAGCTTTCTTAATTCATTATTTAAAGTTAATTAAGACCTGAATCAGCCGACTATGCTGGTAATAGAAAGGATACATCTTAAAAAGGTGTTTTCCAAAACTATAGATGTTCTGCGAAAATGTGTGAGAGACAAAAAAAACAAAGACAATAAACAACTTGAAACAAGAAGTCTTGGAATCAAGCAGTCTTGGAAGTTTTAACTGATTCGGAAAAAGAAGGAACTCCTAATACTTTTAAATAACAGGATAGGGGGAGATAGACATCTTCGTATGATAATTAATTCATTTGTCACTGAAGATACACAAATCTATACTCAAGTGCTTCACTTCTCAGATATTCCAACAATTCTCAGATGACTCAAATGGCTCTAAAGTAGAGACCTATAAACGACAAAATGACGCTCCCTAAACATACGACGTTATAATATACGTTTATTGAAAACCGACATATTTTGAAAAAAAAATGGAAAGAAAGGAAATTATACCTAAAAGTTAGTTCTTGAAGTGATGATAATTTAATAATTCATGAAATAACACTGCATTGAGCAACGCCATTAATCAAACCATTAATTATGATCGAATCAAACAAGTGTTGAAATGAAATTTCAAATTGCTTTTCTACTTCAATATTCCTCGCCACTCTCTACGTTAATTCATAAAACATTAATCAAGCTATGAATTAAAAATTTACAACAATCGAATAATGTTGTCAATTCTTTGGAGATGAAACAAAGAAAAGGTTGTGATTGCCGTGAGAAAACTGAAGTAATTCGTTAGCGGAATTCACATTTCTCTTACTCGTGTCTAGCTGTAACAACTCTCTAAAGAATTAACTACTGTAATATTACATACGAGTGTAAAAAACTGCGATATCATCTGAGAATCTGTAGGCATCCGCAGAAAATCTTCAACATTCTAAAAACTGCGACATCATCTGAGAATCTGTAGCATCCGCAGAAAATCTTCAACGTTGAGACGCAGAAACCGATCGCAATCAAAGCTAATGTTCCATTTAGCACTTGCTGTTAATTGAAAGTCTCGAGCCCCATTAATAAATAAGCAAACACAGCTAACAAATCAAAATTAATACATTGATGGACGGGAACGGTCGATATCGCCATCGACGAGCTGGAACTTGTCAGATCAGTGCGTTGAACTAATCTTTTGCACTTCAATGGCTTGGATCGTGCCAGCTATAAGTTCGTAAATTAGCCCGTGCTGGTGCCGATATATACTCGTATGTATGTATGTATGTATGTAGCATTTAGTATGTGACATACTCGTATGTATGTACATACATATTTGCACATATATAGGCTTGTATGTCTGGTAAGTATGCCTGTCGTAGACGGGGAGCACGCGCAAGATTAGCACCGCACGTTCAGTGGCTCGTTCGTTTGGTCTAACCGCTCATGACGTCAGCCACGGCGCTAAGGGTTAATACATTATGCCTCAAAAGCATGCGGACAAAATATACTTACATAACTGTTTGCCTTTCTAATATGCGTCAACTACTGCTGCCTTTACTTACTCCCTATTTTCTTTGCAGAAAAATGATTTGTATCTCTCCATTTCTCAATTGCGATACGTCTAAACTCTCTTCACGACATAATAAAGAAAATGCTTTCTATTTAATCATATCATATATTATTCGATAGCCAAATATGCAAATATAAAACAAAATATATCAATGGCAACTATGAATATTATTTTGAACACCTAGTTCTTATAGGTTTCATGAAATAGGGTTTCGTACAGACATGCAAATGAATATTGTTAGTTTTTTTCAGAAAGTGACAGTGAAATACTCTGTAGCCAAAATAAAGTTCACTTAAAGTAGATAAAGAAGATGACATAGTAATGGAGTAAAATTGTTTCTCTAATAACTTTTCTTTTATTTACCCATCTAACCGGATAATTAATTCATAGAGATAGAGAATTATATTTCGCCTGCAAAATATAGTTGATGTGGCTATGGAATTGTGCACAGTATTGTGTGGGGGTTGTATATTTTTAAAATATAAAATAAACTTGTTTTACATCGTGTTTAGAACAGTCTACATACCAAGTTTGGTTAATGTGGGCTAAGCTGTTTTCGAAAACCAGGCGTTCATTCAGACGGACGATTATGGCAGATACTATATATACTTTATGGTGTTGAAAATGCTTCCATGTGTACCATTTGGGTATTGAGTATAATAAATAAGTTATTTTGCTCTTGGTATTGATGAACCATTTGAATTGATGTCTTCCTAGCCAAACTTTGATTAGATATTCTCTCTTTACTTTGTGTCTGGGGTATAGCCGGTGAACAATTAAATGCAAGGTAGAATAAAGAATAAACAAATCGACTATAACGCTTTTCTTCATCTTTTCTAACTCTCTTTGGGGTTAGATAGAACTCTCTTATTTTCTGGTGACCCCGAGCTTCGAGAATTGTGTAGCTCGTCCGGATGTACAAATATGGATATTTGATTTGTCAGAATACATTTGTCGATCAGTATTGATGAGATGCGACGCAGTTTTTTGGGTCTCGACTATATATTGCCGGTATTGATAAGTGCAATCGGTGCTCCAGACTGTCCCAAGTCTGTGAACGCTTCTAAGAATATGTAGATTGAAATCGATGTTGAGCTGAAGTCCTCTTCAATGGGTGGGCGATATACATAAGTAGTATTCGTACAGCTGTGGCTGTCACCTCAGGCTGAATGGGAAACACTGCATTATGTCAGTGTTATGTCAGCGGATAAATGAATGTTGCCCCTGCTTGCTATCATTTTTGTGGATCATGTGACCAGCAATGACCATGAGCCTTAATCGCTCCGGCCCGTTGACATTTGGAAATTTGACAATTCTGAGCATTTGCCAGCAGCAGCAACAGCACCAGCAATAATAATACTAATAATAATAATAGTAATAATAAAAACAAAAGCGAAAGTTATATAAAGCACTTGATTTGTTGTAAATTGTGCGATTGTTTTTGTTGCTTGGCTGCAATTTAGATCGCAGTGCACATACGAGTACCAGTACGAGTACCAGTATTTCGCAAATTGAATCAACAATCATTTTGACTTGCCCCCCAAAAATTAAAGCCACTCTTAGCGCTGATTGGTCCGTTGAGTGGGGCCAGGTCGATCAGGCCACACGATTACAACTTGGTGCTTGGCACTTGGTGCTTGCAACAACGCCACCTGAGCTAAGTACGCAACCCAATTGAAGGCAGGAGGAGCAGTCTCCGAACAGCCTCAATTGAATGAATGAATGAACGAGTGAACGAGTGAGTGAGTGAGTGAGTGGTTGTCGTTGTGCCATTTATTGTTTTAATGCCCCATGGCTACAAATGCAGGCGGCCTCTAATTGAGTTCGGGTTGTTGTTGTTGTTGTTCCATTTGTTTAACGCTCAACGCGTCACTGGCACCAACCACAACAACAACAACAACAACAATAAACATAATACTATAATGTGTGTACGACTATTAGATAAGTTTATTATAGAATTATACTGCGGGCCACATCATAAAGAAAGTTGAGCAATTTTGCCATTGGTAGGCATAAATTGTTTAATAGAGTTATACTACGCTTCATTCGTCATTCGTCGTATCGGTTGATGGCGCGAAGGGATGGGGGAAGGGAAGGGAAGGGACGGAGAGGGTCTATAATAAGTGTGGCGCGAGCAGTTTTATTCTTCTAGGTCTTGGTGCATACTTAAGATAAGTCGCAAGCATAAATGTCGAACTTCTTTGATATAAGAACGCCAACAACGGCTGATAACCTTAGGCACGTGTTAACGCTGCGTATACGTATTATAGCGCAAGGTTCATGGCCATAGGCGGGCGTCAGGCGTTAGGCGGCATACGTGTATACTGTGATATTTTGACTGGCTTTGATAGCTTCCTGTTGATAAATACAATTTTTACTACATATATAAGTACAGCTTAATTTAATGGCCGGTTGGGTGTGTCACGCGACAAGCAATTAGCAACAGCTCCAAATTAACAATTACCACACAGCTATCACGGTCTATTGGGTAATCATGCTGATGGTAAAGGTTTCACATCCAAGCAGGACATTCTCTTCTACCAGCAATCGCAATCGTCGACTTTATCAACGAAACGCAAATTTAAGTAACCTATAGAGTACTCTATTTTTAAACGATTTTGAGCGGGGATCTTAATATTTTAGATCTGCCTAGCTGTTTACTGTTTCCTTAAAGAGAAACAGATAGATAGACAGAGAGAGAGAGAAAGAGAGAGAGATGAGGACAACCTTATTTAGAATCCCGTGACCATATTTGAAAGGATAAACCTTGTAATATTAAAAAAAATGTCGACTCTAATGGGCTTTTCTTTTAGCTCTTGAAGCTATAATTGATATGTTTCTTTATTAACCTCTCACCAGCATCTTCACGCATCTCAGATATTTTATTATATTCGATCATCTATCAGCTTGTTAACTATTCTATCGATTGACTCTGCAAGATGCAGTTTTAGTTGATCTGATCATCTCAAAAGAGACATTGACAAGAAGAAGGGATATAACAATAGACCTTATCCAGTTGAAGTGGCAAAGAATCTTCTTCTATTGGATATTCTTAATCAACAATTTG